CTGCTGCTGAAAGAATTGCTGCATCGTCGTCGCCAGCGAGTAATTCAGAGCTGCGCTTGCCTCCTGCGGCTCGTGTCCTGCCGCGCCACGTTCCACGACAGGCGCTTGCCCAGAAGGAAAGGCTGATGCATAGTCAGGCATCATCTCTGTATCATCCTTCCAGTGTCCCAGTCCTCCAGCCGACAGTCCACCAAGAAACGGAGCTGTAGCGCAACAGTCTCTCCAGTCTGAGCTCGAGGCACAAGCCCTGGTGGTCCAGCGGTATTGCCTTCAGAGGGATCCGAGCCAGAACCTGATCCAGGTACTGAGCAACCTCTGCTGACAACCCAAACATCACTGACCGTGTCTCCTGCTGGGAGTCGAAGTAGGGAGGATCCAAGGGAACGGCATCCGGGAAGTCACGCTCCACAGACCCCTCAGGCTGTTGCGACGCTCCATCTCGGGCTTCCTGAAACTCCTCATCATTTGGCAAGCTTTCAGTGCCGTCCGCAGTCTGACCCGCAGACCCAGCAACAGAGCTCGCCATGGCGTGGCTTGGGCTCATAACCCCCGAAGCCGGAGGATTAGGAGCAAAGTTTCTTTTCCAAGGAAGGAACAAGACGAGTTGAAAGTATCTGCTGTACGCTGTACACTTCTTGATTTGTGCATGGCTTAGCCTACATTAAAAATGGAAGTCCTGTCCCCACCTGAGCCCATACAGCCGTCGAAGCCATCGTTGTCCACATGCCATGGTCCTGGGCTGGTTCGCAGGAACAATGACCTCCAGGTATGGGCCTCCAGCTTGTTGTGCGGATTCTAGGGGTCCATAAGTGACATGTTTAGGGTGTTGTATGCTGGGTACGTAAGGACCCCAAGCTCAGTGGCCCATACTACCTGTTGACGGTCCTTACTTTGGAGCTTAGCACTGGTCCCAAAACATCAGGCTAGCGGTTAGGAAGACATCGTTCGGTGTTGCATTTTTTCTATATTTACAACTGTTTGTTTTCGACTGCTACAAAAGTGTTTGTTCGCAATCCATGAACCAGTGAGTCGGGTGTTGCTAATCCCAGGTTTGCCTGATACTTCTCTGTTGTCACGAATCCTCAGTCTACATCCCACAGATCCGTGCTGGAACCCTGACCAGGCCGAGGGCAGTCCCGGTCTACGCAGCCGAAGGCCAGCACTCAGCCAAGCGGCAGAGGCCTGAGCGAGATGTGTGAGTGGTCATGTCGGTGGCGGTCCACAGCTACAGCTTTCTGGCAGGTACAGACTGGCAGCAGTGCCTGTCATGCGGAGGCAGGTGCCGCGCTTCTTAATTATTAGCGCCGCGGCACAACGGGGCATGCCTGCAAGGGCCGACAGATGCATTCAGCGAAGCTCGCAATGCCTTCTTCCCTTGAAGCATGATGCTGGTGTTGCAGGACGAAGTTTCAACCCCATCACTTTGGCAGCTCCTATGGCGTCCGCTGCCGGCCAAGCTGCCCGCTGGGTTGGAGAAGTGCCATCCAGCGGTGGAAACCTCCCTAGCCTCATCATTACTGTAGGTGAACGTGTTGGCTGCATCAAGGCTTGATGCTTAGCTTGCCTAGAAGTCCTTGACGGTTGCCTCGCTGGCTGAGGATTGGGCGCGCGTCATTGCGGAAGTCTCGTTGTCCTTGGCCAGTTTCCGCCTCTTCTTAGCAGCCGGCCTGATCAAGATGCGAATCGGGAGCCCGTGCTGGAAGGATCACACATGCCTTTATGACCACTACGAGACACAGCCGATGCCAAACTGGGCAGCATGGTACTTTCACAACTTTACGCCGCGACCGTTCCTGCGCGTGATGCAGTGGTTTGCGATAGATGTATCAGAATGCCTCGTTCCATTCCTGATGCTAGGGTTTGGAGCAAGCATTTGGCCGCTTGGCATGTTGCGCCAACAACTTATGCAAAGGCAAGAGTGGTATTTCCGCTGGCTGGCTTGTTTTCAAGCACGGATGGTTGGTTCTGCGATCATCATGACCTTTGTTTTAGGAATGTTTATTGGAGGCAATTATGCCTTCTTGCATCCACTGTCTTTGGTGGCTTTGGTGGCTTCAATGAGCACGGTGGAAGGAGTGCCCGTCCAGAGGAGGCCGATGTCTGCAGCGAAGGCTTCTTACCGTTCGGCCATGCCATGGGTGGTACTGGTTCTGCTAATTTTTGCATTCCTTCCAAGCCTCCGGGCATATGTGGCCTGGCTAGTGTATGTCAATCTCTAATTCAGGGTTGTGAGCAAAGGTTTTGTATTGCGATGCGCGATAGTTTGAGCTGCTTAAGGTACGTGCTTCTGTCAAGATCTGGGTAACCTTTCTGGGTGTCAGACAGACCTTTCCACATTGAAGACTTCGGTTGCCCGCTGCTATAGCTTTGTAGTCGTAGCTGTGAGAGCCCATCCTCGAAGCTTCGCCGATGTCCTGGAGCAACAACAATCAAAATACATTTTGTAGGGAGTATGCTCTGCTTGATTGTGCCGAGGCATTGTGGGGTTTTCGAGTTCGTTGACTAGTGGCTAGAGCACTGTTCCAGGGATTCATGGGTTGCGCCATCATTTCTCACAGCGCGGGGGCAACTGCAGGCAACTTGGGCACTATCAGGGACTGTCAGGGTGCTGATTTCACTGGTCTCATGCGTGGAAGTACCCCTGAAAGTTCAAGCGACTCAAGCCCTATCAGCGACGCTTGCGCCAGGAGAGTTGGAACTGCAGCTTGAACATGGTGGGTTTAGGCTTCGGAGTGTCAGGCGTACCACGTGAGGGTTATGACTTCGCTGCATTTGGGTTCTGGAAGGGGGTTTGCAGAGTTTTTCACAACAAGACACTGGAAAGCAAGGCCTGGCTTTGGCGCGGCAATGAGAGCCTTGGCCTCCTGGAACCTCTCGCTCAGTCGAGCTTCGTTCGAGCAGCTGCGCAGATGAACCTCGGTCTGTTCGGTTGAGGTCTATAGGGCTTGGGTTTTTCGGTTTGGGTGTAGAAGCGCTACTTACTTTTTCTGAGGCACTCATCTGGCACTTAAGTAAGCCTAAGCCGAAGCCTGGGAATTCACCAGCTGGTGGCCTTCGAGCAGAAATAGGATGGGTCATGTTTGTGGGAGGAAGGTCTTGCTACTGCTGCAATGCACTTCTTTGGACTAAGAGGGGCTTGGCTTGGTGCGTCATTTGGATTTTTGGCTTCAGAGTTTGCAAGGAACCTTGGAATTGCATACAATCACCACGCCTACTTCGCTGGCGCCGTCCATGAGCGAAACGAGCCGCGCACTTGGGGTTGTTGCCTTTGGCCTCTAGACCACTCCCTGCTGGAACAAGTACACTAAACTTGCATAAAGTTACACTAGTTTGGGAAGCTTGAGCACCTGAAGTCTCACGTGCAGGATGGTTCTCTTCGCTGATGTGGGCGGAGGCTTGGGTGCCAATGCAGCCGGGGCCTTGGGATTCCACTGCGCCCTCGCGTTCGGTGAGGTGCAGTTGAGCTGGACATCCCCTACAAAGTGGGTTCGGACCCGGGCATCACCTTTTACTGGTTGAAGCTGCTGGCAACTGCCTCCTTGTGACAAATTCACTCAAAATGGGAGTGTTTTCGAGGTCGTCCGAACCGTGCGCCGCGCCAGACCAGTCCACTCCACCGGCGCTTTGCCTGGCAGTGGTGGTTTCTGGGCCTGGGTCCCTTGATTTAATTGAATCTTTGTTATCTGCAGTGGTGCAGTGGTTCCTCGCGGTCGAAGACGGAAGCCTGGACGCGTGCAACGTTGACATGTTTGCAAGCTGCGTTCGAGGTGAGAAGGGGCATAAGAGAACAGCGACAGAGCATCACAGGGCAGTGTCAGAAGTTGAGTATGCTTTGCCTCAACAGTCTGCCACACGGTGTTCAGCTTCCTTGCAACCCTGCCAAATCTCAACCCTGGCCGGCCGAACAAGTAATTTGCAAGAGCGCAACGGCACCCGTACACTTTCCTACAGGACGTTGGTTGCTTGCCCGTGAGGACGCGTGGCATGCAGGTCATGCTCTGGGTACAAGTGTGAGGTTTTAGTAGAAAGGCTGAGCAAGAAATTAGATTACCTGATTTGCAAGCCTTGATCGGGTGCCCTATGGCCACTGCAGGGAGCGACCCTTCCTGGTTGGTCTCCTTCATGGAGCTACTCTGCCCTTCGGCTTAGCCATGAGCCGAGACTCTTTCAAGAATCCCTCTGTGCCCTTGAGAGAGTTTGACAATCAATACTGAGCCAACAAATAGCGAGGTTGCTTGTCCGTTAGTTAGTTCCTATTAGAGACAAGCCCCACTTGGCTGCTTGACGTGTGTGCGCGAGGCCAAAAGGATGAGGTGGCGTGGAAGGCTGTGGAGTGGAATAGCAAGGTGCACGCCAACCTCGCAAAGCTCAAGCAAGTCTCAGTCCAGATGTACTCGTACCACTTTTCTTCGCATCCTGTCAAGAACATGGCTTGCCAGATTCTGCTAGATATTGTCTTGCTATGCCTTCCTTGCTGTAGACAAGTAGGGCGGATCCAAGGCCGGGATCATCAGATTGGTGGAGGAGAGCTGTGGTCCCTGGTCATGGGCTGGAGATTCCATGCGCATGAGGGCCTTGTCCCTGTACATTGTTTAGAAGGCTGGGGCGAAGTTGCTTGCATGAGTTCTTGCTGTACAGGAAGGACAAGGCAGCAAAAGATTGCCTGCACGGAAAAAGGAAAAGCTGCGCCTTTGGAACATGCTGTTGATGCAGTTTTAGCATTCAACTGAATCTAGGTGCTAGCTGTCAAGCATCCATGGCCTCCAGCAACAAGCATGAACATGTGAAGGTGTGTCTTGACACAAGGGGTGTGCCTCTGACGGTTGCGGGTTGCTGTAAGTAACCGTCCTGGTCAGCGGGAGAGCCCTCAAGCATCGTTGAGACAAGGTTTTGGAATGGCCTCTCATGCTTGGATATCAACTTCAGTTGACCTGAGGCATGCTGTTTCGTAATCAACGTCTACGACATTTGCTATGTCAAATCCCCTGGTAGCTGCGCAGGATCAGTCCAATGGCTTCTTCATGACGATGGCCACCTCCTTATGAGAGCTAGCTCCAGTCAGTCCTTCATACGTTCTGGATAGCAATGGAAGACTCAGTGCCTGGAGGATGCCCAAGTTGATCAGTTCGCCCGTGTTGTGAGGGCTGACAAGAATCTGAGCAGCCCCTGACCCAGCTTGGAGTGGATACTTTGCCTGGCAGCCCAGCATAGACTCGTTAAGGGGGCAAAGTGGGGAGTGGGATCCTGGACTGTAATGCCAGTCAGTGTCGTCTACTACCAAGACTTGGGCATGCTAGCCAAGACCAGCCTTTCGGCAGCAGCCTTTCCATGATGAGCCGAGGCGGATTCAATGCCGTTGGTTTCTCACAGGGCAACGTGGGGTGACCCAGTTGACACAGGCTCTTATGCTGTGACACGTGGTAGCTCACCAGCCGCAACCGGTCAAACGCCAGACAGCGACTTCCCACAAACATGATCTCGTGCTCACTCAGACGGTGATCCGCGGTTACATCCACAAGTACAACGACCCGCCAGTCAGGACAACATGCGGCTTGAGCTTTAGCAAGTGTAAGGTAGGTTGCAATATGCTGCTACGTTTTGATTAAAGTGGAGCATTGCCACCTAGAAGTTGGGCGTGCAGGCAGCTGGCCTCAAACCATGACTGTTTTGTTAATTTATGCTATGAGGTGTGAAAAGAGTTTGCAGAGTGATCGTCGAATGACTTCATGGCAAGCCGAACATCTGCCTTTCCCGTCATGTGTATGCAGCACGTACTGTTCCACAAGGGCAAAGCATGCATGCTTTTTACTGGTACAGCCTGACGTAGTTGACCAGGAACTTCTTGTCCATGCACGGTGTTCTCATGGGTGACCAGAGCTCAGACAGAGCGGATCGGCAGGGTACGGAAACATTGGACCTTAGATCCGTGCACGACATGGCAACCAGACCCAAAAGGTGAACGGGCTTCCGCAGTGCCCTATGTCAGCCAGCCTCTTACACTATAGAAGCAAGCAGGTCCATTCATGTCAGCAAATGGCAACGGATGCCTGTAACAGCCCCGTTCATGCAAAGCAGCCGTGCCTGAGGTGCCAGGAGTTGGAGTTCTTTGCCGTGCAGTCGATGCCATTGTTTCTCATGCTGGCGTTTATGACAGCTTCGTGCCCTGGTTGCGGCAGCTGCAGTTCGGTAACTTGATGCAGGTCGCAGGTGTGACGAATGACGCATGCAGCAAGTTGGCCAGGGTGCAAAGGATGTGTGTCGACCTGCCTTCTCGGCTCAGGGTTTCTTTGTCCTGGTATTTTGAGAGTGCTTTTAAACCCGCACTGCTAATTCAAAGATGGAGCACTCAAGTGCAGAGCTCGGCCATTACGTGCCCACCTCTCCACCTCAGAATATCCGTCTGCATGCAAGTTTGAAGGCAAGAGATTCAGAGACCGAAGAATCTCACTGGAAGCGCGCGACATCTCCCACCTCTGAAGCAGAGACGGATGACCTCAGTGGAGCATCGCTGTCTAGCTTTGAAAGAGTTAGCAGCGATGACACGCAGCCACCAAATGAGCCCGAGCGTGAGCCAGCCAGGCTGGAGCCTGCCAGCGTACCTGTTGCCAGGGTACCTGTGCATCTTTCCAGGTCAAGGGCGTTGGCTCTGCAGAAGGAGCTGTTGGCTGCTTTCTCGTCTCCGAGCTTTCAGAAGTGCTTTTCCGAGTTGGTTCGCGGCAAGAAACGCGCACTCTACGAGCAGCTCGTTCGGAAGCAACAGTGTGAGTTGATCGCCAAGTACGGCTTTGAGGCCACGGATGATGGGGTGATGGACATGCTGCAGGCTTTGAAGAAGTTTGCGGATGATCCGGATGTGCTTGTGATGGATCTTGCGATCGAGGAGGTGCTTGCTGTTGACAGAGAGCACACCAGGGTTTCCATGGGGGAGACCCTGCAAGCAAATCATAATCCAAAGCCCGTGACAGCTGTCAGCGTCTGTGACCTGCTGCTTGGCAGATCATGGCATTTCCAAGTAGAATCCCGTCAGTTTGGCTGAGGTGTCCTGGCTACTCTGCATTTTGAGAAGACTAGATTATTACCTTGAAGGCTGCGCAGCCAGCTCGTCAGCTTCGGCTATGCCCCCTTCCAGTATTCCATCGAGAAGCTGAAGGATGATGCGGACCGAAAGCGCGGACGTCCCGATCCTCAAGGACCTGCGCAGCACCCGAAACCTTTCCTTGCGGTTCCCTTCCGCTGTCCAGCTTTCAGTCTGCAACTCTTGCATGACAGGATACTACCACCTACCCGGCCGAGCGGATCTGGCTCTCCAGGCAGGTGGCAGCACAAATGTCCTACAGCACAATGTGTTCTACCTGTGGAGGTACAGAAGGAAATTCTTCCCAGCTTTGGCTTCGAGGGATCCAAGCTTGGCGTGCAGGAGTCGTGTCTTCTGAGTGCTTTTCATCCAGTTGACGCTTACAGCAGCTCCCATCTTCAAGCTCATCTCCCATAATTTATGCTGGAGGGCCAGTGTCACCTGAACAGAGGCAACAAACCCCTGCCTCTTCAGGTTCTTCTGGTGATGTGACGGTAAACTTCCCCCAAAGCTGCGGTCTCCGCCAGGAGATGATCGTGCACTGTGCGCGCTTTCTCAAGGAACCAGAAGTGACAAACCTTCTGGATGCAGTAAATGCGACGCTTGGCCAGGGCATGCGGGGCAGATCAAATGCCAGACAGTAGCCTCACTTTGTCGTGCTGCGACTGATTTGATGTCGTTCCATTTGATCGCACATGTTTTGGGGGAGTTCCGTCAAAAGTGAATGCCCTGTGTTCGATGCTGGGCGACGTCCAGTTGTCCATGCACAGTCATCGTCATTATTCTGACGCTTTCAGGAAGCTTGGCATGACGCCCGCCGCCTGTCGACGCTTTCGTGAGCTCGCATGCAGCCTAGCTTAGAGAGCACGCTGCTTGCCACCCAGGACTTGGTCTTGCTTGGTTTGGGGCGTTTGGGGTGTCCTACTTGTAGTTGGCTGCTAGGCTAGAAGCAATTGGCTGACCATGGCTAACCTGCCCGTGGTGAAGAAAAGTTGCGTGGACGTGTCATGCAGCCATCTTGCAGGAGAGCTTCGCAGGCGGACGCCGTCGCTACGTGACCTTTAGGCACGCCAGCAGGGAAACGATGGCTACCATGTCTGGGGCAGGCTTAGGGATCTTAAAGCAGTCTTACCTGGGGCATGGGGGAATAATATGGGGAACACCCTCGGTGAACCTTCCCCGTGAGAATGTCGTAAATATCATGATGTGAGCTTCACGTTGGCCAAGCACCTGGGAAGGCCACGTTAATGCCAGCAACTCCAGGCTTAGCCTGGTCTAGCCCTGAGCAGGGATGTCTTTCAAAAGCGTTGTACAGTTTACGCACATGGGCAAAGGTTGACATCCATTTGGCCAGAAGAGTTCTTGCACCAGACTCCTGAAAGGGAAATGCAATAGTTATCTGACTGAAACCAAGACAGGGGTGACATGAGCTGCCAAAATCTGCCAAATTGATGGCTGACACTTACCTTTGCTCAAGTTCCCATTCCCACCTGAATGGACAAACTCTTTGGGGCGACCTTTGAGACTGAAGATTTGGCACGAAGACTGCTGCTTCAAGACACTTGTGTCACTGGATGCTTCGAGTCTTGCAGGTGAAATCATCCATGTTGCTTCAGTCTTAGGGGAAGTTTTTCTGCAACAGGCACACTCTACAGGTTTGCCTTGGCTCCCAGAACAGAAGGGGCCACTGCGTACTGCCCGCCTGCACCTCTGAACAGTCTGCTGAACATGTAATTTACGTACTTTAGCAAGATCTGTCCGCTACCACTTTCAAGCGCTCTGAAGATCGTGGGTGCGCCTGGTGTAAGCCGTGGCGTCTCCTACGTCCGCAGCACCACACCTTTTTTTTTCTTTTATCCGAATGGAGTTGCTGCGTTTGCATGCTGCCCTGAGCGCAACAAGCGGATCGTCTCATTTGAAGCATGGAGCTCGGTGCCCACGGCATGGCCGTGTTAGTTACCTTCTTGCTGGCGGTTTCTGGCGAGGCTGCTTGAACCGAGCCAGTGCTGCAGAAAGCTCTTGTTCTGCTGAGCTCTTTAGGCTGCCGGCTCTGCACGACCTTCTGTGAAATAGCATGTGCAACAAAGTCCTTCGAAGCTTATGGTGTCATCGCTTCACTGCAATTTGATAGTGGAAGCCGCAGAGCAGAGCAGGCACAGACCAGCAGATGTTGCAGACGTCGCTGAGTCGTCTATGCACTCAGCCGGGGGATTTGTACATGATGTACATGACTGCAGCTGGAAGCGAACAAAAAGCGAGTGATTCTGATCAGCGTCAAGCAGTCAGTGTCGATCGATCATGTAGCCACACTCAAACTTCGGAAGTCAAAGCGAAGGTGCAGAACCATCTGGCCCAAGCGAACTACTACCGGGATGCTGCGAACCTGGACACTTACAGGTCGCATGCCCATTTCCTGCCCTTCATCAACAACGAGGCCCCTCTGTTCAAGGGCTTGCTTGTCTTCCCCAAGACCAGGTACAGTAGTTGGTGAGTATCTGCTCCCGTCAGCGGATGTTGATCACATCTTTGGAATTTCAGATGTGACCATGGTTGGGGGGGGGGGCAGGTCGGGAAGGGTTGGGATTGTATGGCGAGATGGTGCAGGCGTACAAATTCTATTCTATTCGACATGCGCGCGCTGGGCTCTCGCTGGACACTACTGCTTTTGGAGAAATGCCTTTCCTGCCGGTCTTCTCATGATACTGAGATATTGCAAGTTCATGTTATGGGCCCAACATTTTGTGACTCGAGTATTCTGAAATTCTGTAATGTCACACTAAATATCGATATTTTTGGATGCATCGAGCTCATAGAAGCAACGGGAGTGCCTGCATGCGTAACAGCCAGGCGGGAGGGAAAGGTCAAGGAGTGCCTTAAGTGCATACTTTTCCACAAAAGTCGTTGGCACTGTAATCTCCTTAGGACTTATTGTTTGATTTTTATTAAAAGTACAACCCTAAGGAAGAATGAAACATAGTGTTTTCATTATCACAGGTGACCACCAACCTGATCAACGTGGTTGCATTCAATGGGTGAGGGGATCATTGCCAGTACCTTTCACCTCATAGAACTGCCTGGCAAGAAGGACCAACCAGACCGGATGAAACACAGAACTCACCAAAGCCCCGCTGTCATGCCATCATTTGTTGATTGGTTGACAGTATTGCATGTTTCCAGCCAGGTGAAGGGACAGGAGCGAGTGGGCCTTGACCCGTGTGTCGCGTTGCTCCACTTGGCTTGGTGAATGGCAGTTGCCTGTACTTTCCTGAAGTAAATGAAGAAGCTCAGCGCAGGAGAACTCAACGTACAAGGAGAATTTCAAGTCCTTGGAGAAGTTGGTGCTGGTGATGGCAAAGGATGACACGATGGTCACGCTGGCATGTTGGCAGCTTGAGCCTTCACTGCCTAAAATGAATGCGCGGTGTAGGTCCACCCCAAAGAGAGCCGCTCGGCAGCACGTGCCTGTCCAGTTCAAGCTGCCTGGACAGCACGATGAGGTGAACACTTCGGCTACTTCAAAGATGGCTCACGGGAGGCGCGTCCTGTCCAAAATGTCAAGGCACCGCTTCTCATGGTGCGATCGCACGAATAATCTCTTGCCTCAACGTCCCGGCAAAGAAATACAACCGCATGCGTGGCTTCATGATGAGGGGAGAGTTTTCATTTCACCTGGAACCACAGTCACCAGCGCCCTTTACAGAGTAGTGACTAGTCTTATCCTTCTGGAAGTAGTCTTCCAGGATCATAAGTTCTCTGAAGTGATTCGAGGGCTCCATGAATGGGATAGGCGTGACTCCTGCACGCTTCCAGCCCGGGATTTGAGAGGAACTGGTGGACATGCGTGATGCGCCTTGGTACACAGAAGACTGGTTCGGCCTGAAAAGCCTGGACCAGGAGACCCGATGAGCTGCCCAGTAGCCTTCACACAAGTGTGTTGCACTTGCAATAATAGATCAAGATCTGCTGTCCAAGTGTTTCTGCAGGACAAAAAGATCGATTTCTTCTCGACCCCAGGCAGCCTTGCCCAGGAACCCTAATGCACAACTGCTGCATGATCTGCGCACTGACCGAGGCAACCACCTTCGCTTCAAAACAGATTTCTTGGTCGAGATGGCGGCCCGGCTGCGTTTTGAGCGAAATTTGTTGGCAGTTGGCAAGCTCCACAGTTGCAGTGACCAAATGGATGACTGCATTCTTTACCATTGGCAGGCAAGGTGTAGAGGCCCGAGTTTGCATAAGCAGCACCCGCAACAAGCCAGGAAGTGCCTGTTGCTTGATTTGCTTGCTATCCATCTGCAGACGCAGGTGAAAAAGTATTTTGTGAGCGACACTGGCGCGTCCATCATGGTCTGAGATGTCTGAGGCAGTTTTAATCCTCTCAAGTGTGCTGAGCCGGACGTCCAGGCGAGAACTCATTGGTTTTAAGATGAAAGGCCTGCAAACGGTTCCAGGTACAAAGTGGCCTTTGCTGCCCGCAATCCTGCTCAATGCACGAAGTTTGTTCTTTGTGGCCGAGTTTGCACATGTCAGCTGACGCGGCGATTGGCTGCGGGTTGCGTGGCCGGCTCATAGTCATGTGTCCATTCAGCTGCTTCTCAAGCAGCAAACTGAAAAAATGCTCGCAAGCGAAGAGGCCGAGAGGCTGAGAGGCCTGGCCAGAGGTCTCAGTTGTCTTGGCAGTTTCAGGGGCTTTATGAATTGCAGGGATTGTGGGGATCTCCTGTGCGCGGCCGACGGTGTGCGCTTTGCCTTGCAACTGCGGGCTCTTGGAATAACAGCGCCAGACCTGCGCTCTGAGGTCCTGTCATGGCATTCAACCTGTGGATCTTCCAGCAGGAATGCAGGCAGGGACTGTGCAGTTTTGCCTCGTGCAGAAGCTTTTAATACTGAGCTTCATTCGAACACGCATGCATGACGAACGGTGGAATGTTGTGAGAGCGACTTGAGCGGACCATGCAGCCCACAAATTGCGTTGCAGTGCAAACTTGTAGGTGCAGTATGGCCGCAGTGGGGCGCTCATTGGATTGCAACTGCTCTTTGGCTTGCCCTCTTGGCTCTCCGGAACTGCTCCCATGTTTTTGCCTCAGTTTCTGCACGCGGCTGCATGAACAGCGCGTAGCAGCTGCCTCTCTTGCACCTCTGGAGCCTTGTCATCTGTTTTTAGAGCCACTCCTTTTCAGCGGGGTTGTTCCCCAAGTCCTAGAATCTACGGGCTCTGCCATTCATGGGCGCGAAATTGCGCAAGAAGTGTGGTGCGCTGAAGGTTTGCGAAAGGTTCTGCCCATGCAAGCTTGCATGTCCAAACACGGGCTGCTGCAAAAGGCACACGACAAGGTTATGTTTGTTGGATGAGCCTGGTCTTTGATATGAAAGAACGGCTGGAAGGGCTGTATGAGAACCGGGCCCCTCGGAGTGGGCGGGGGCGGGCGCGGCACCTGGGAAGTTCAAAGCAGAAGCAAATCTGGCAAGGTGAGCTCTTTCGGTTCTCAAGTTTGCGGTAAGCTCAAGGAGGATAAACTTGTCCCAACATCCCAACCTTGCTATCAGCTATTCAGTAGCTGAGGGGATTGTGCGTGGCTTGAACTCATTTGAACTTGAACGTCAAAGCGAATGCGGAGAGTGCATCTTCAGGCTTGAGCGAGTCGCCGTTTCGAGCCACAGCAGGCAGCTGCGGCATCCAGCCCTTCATGGTGTTGCAACAGCATGGCATTTGCGGACTGTTGGAAGAAATTCGCATGAGTATTGATAGTATAGGTTGGAAGCCCTCCTTGCGCGACCGACAGTTCCGTCATGCCCGCCAGGCAATTCCAAGCGCAACAGGCTTCCACGCTACATTTTGGCTTCAGCTGTCTTTGCAAGATGAGCCTAGCAGCCCTAGTATTATGCACTCTACTGATTTCATCTCCTTGTTTAATTCCAGCACCCATGCCAAGCAGATCCAGCTGGTCAGCAAGTAGAACTGCCTGGCCACACATGCCTGCGCCAAGCTTTTACCTAACCGCCTCTACATGACCTTCAGGTCTCCTGTAAGTACGTCAGCAATACACCCGCACAACTCAATTAGGCTATTCCGATGACACCTCGCTAAGGTGAGCAGTCAGGCCATGGTCTTCCGTCGTGCTGCCTTTTTGGCAATCATCGCTGGCCATGCCAGCGAACTTCCAGAGGATGTTTGCTCTGGCAATTGCGAGGCCGGGGCAGAGAAGAGAAGGAATTTGACAAAACCTTGTGAGCCCCAACTGTGTATGGCCTGACGCAAGCACCACATTCGTTAAGCGAGGTTCTCCAATGATAAAGCCCCTGGTAGGATCCTTCGCGAGGGCATGGCCGTATGCCAAGTGCAGCGCTGAAGCCGCTTGAGTGCACGAACTGCAAGAAAATCATGAAAGCTCCGAAGACGTGGTCCCGTCTCAGGCATGAGTTCGCGCTCATCACCGACCTAGACAAAGCTTCACGCGACCCAAGCAAGCTGACATGGCATGCCTGGTTCCGAAGAGGCCTGCTGTGGCAGCTGCCTGCATCTGAGGCTTCCCATTAATTAATGACTCTTAAGCAGGAACGCTCAGCAAGATTCCGGCAACCGGCCGCTACCAGCTCGAGTGGCTTCACACAAGCAAGCTGGAAAGCAGCCTGGCATTCAAGAATCGTAGCATCTTGGCACGCAGACAAGCAGCCAGCATTAGCCAGCATTGACGTCTGCCTGCTGTCCTCATGAGATGGTGCCAGCCTTCGCAGGTATGGAGCTAAGCGAGCTGGTCCGCTTTCAAGGACACCTCCTTGCGATGTGTTGCTGGGTCCGACTTTGTCATGTGTCCACTCATGCATCACTCATGCATCAGACGCCGCGGCACCACAAGGTGAGGGATGCCGGTGCTAAAGCTGCTGAGGTGATATCACTGGTCTGGTCTTCGAAGTGGACCCTGATGCGGGCGTAGCATTTCAGAGGCTGGCCTTGGCAGATGGCAACGGAAGGTCTATGAAGCCCTTCAAAGCAGAGTGGGCAACGGTCAAGGACAGCAGTGTGGGAAGTGGGAAGTAGTCGCAGTGGGACCCCCTTCCCAAGAAATGATAGCCTGTTTTTGCATGGAACGACCCTGCTAGGACGACGCCTTAATCGTCGGCAGCATGGGGCGTGAGTGGACGGATGATGACGGCTCTGTGGTACACCGAGATGCTCAGTGGGTGAAGCAGATCGATGCGAGCTGGCATGTGCAGAGTCTGGACTGGAGGCCAGCCTTTGAGGCCTTGCGCGCAGCAGTCGATGCCAAGTTGCCAGGCTACTTGTGGCATGAAGCAGTCATCTGGGATCCTTTGCTGGCGCGATGGCTTGTCCTACCGCGGAAGGCCAGCAGGGAGGCGTATTCACCAACAGCCGACGAGACCCGCGGCACCAATTTGCTACTGCTCGCAAACGAAGACTTCTCCGTTATAGAGACTCTCCGTGTTGGGCCGCTGGAGCCAGAGTGGGGATTTGCAGCAGTGCGCAAAGTGCCAGGAACAAATGATACCTTTGCAGCGCTGAAGGTGCTGGAGGTTGGAAAGCGAACAGCGACCAAGCTATGCGTGTTCAATCTCCGTGGCCAGATGCTGTTGGAACCTACGTTTGAAGACGTAGCGGAAATGAAGTTTGAGGGCATGGAGTTCACATGAAGTTTCCTGCTGGGCGAAGCTGCCCGGTAGAGTGCGCGGCGGGTGAGAGATGCTGATACACAGACCCACGTGATTATTGGTTATTGGTCCTTATTCACATGTAGGAAGGGCTGTGACGGTGGCGAAGGCTAGCGCACTCGCTTGACCTGCATGGTTCGGGCGGTCGTTTGAGCGTCATCTGCAAATGTCGTGCGGCCTGTTTTGACGCCAGGCGGGGCCATGGAGCGGCCATGGCGCCACTCGCGAGACTGGGACCCGAATCCGATGAGGAGTTCTTCCAGCTGTGAAATGCAAACTTGATGGGTTGGGCTTAGTTCCTACCGTCTCAGCCTTGTGCAGGTTGTGCTGGTCTGTGCGTTGCAGCGCCCAAGCTGCAATACAGGAGCTCAGCTGCTCCCGAGCCTCTCGTTTGGGCCCGGAGTCCTGCTGCGGGGCCGGAGCCCCACACCGTATGGCATGGCAAGCTTGGTATTCCTCGGAAGATTGTCTTGCTGGATGTTTTGTCTTAGAGTGTTACTAACGAGAGGCAGCCTCTGATCAAGTCATGGCATGTCATAGCAGAGATAGCTCATATTGTGGCAAGGTCAGATCCAACACTGCTTTGTCAGTTTTGATCCTGTCAGTGACTGGTTTGTAGTGAGTTGAATACTGGCAAAATGCTTGCAGCTGCTCGCATGTGAGCGTGATTCAATCTTCGGGCTTCGCGGCGAGAACCCCCTCTTGGGCTGAGGTCGATGTTGTACGGCAGCCAGGCCCGCTGGGGTGGTCAGACTAGACAACGCAGCTAAGCAGACGTGCTAGCCCTGGACTGAGTGCATCCGTCGATTTGGATCTGCGACGAAGGAAACGCCAAATTTGTGGCAACGAGAGGTGGGGCTGAGCAGCAAGCAGGACATAATTGAAGTAGCGTTTGCTTTCTGCCAGCTCCTGGACAAAGCTGCGTGACCTATTGCCTCCACACATCTGACGTTCACGCTGCGTGAATCGGGCTCGGCCACGTGAGTTTCACACACCCGTTCCAGTAAGCTGTACACTTTCGGCAAGATGCGTGCACATCTGGCACGACCTTGACGTCAATCAGTCAAAACTAGGCACGACCGACTCAATTCAATAGGTTGCGTGCTGCTAGGTGTAGGTTACACAACAACCAGAGGGCAAAATGTGCTTGACTAGTCCCTACAAGTCTCAAGCGTGCTGCTAATGGATGGAGAAGATGAAGCCAGTGAGGATTGGGAAGGCACGCTTTTCGTGACGCTGGAGGAATTGCTCAAGCACCTGAGACTTGCTGTTGTGTGCAGAAGCCTAGCATACTAGCAAATGCTGACGAAGTGTGTGTGGTGGCCTTTGCTGCGATCTAGCTGTGCAGTGAAGCCCGGCCTAGTTGCAGAGTGCAGCTGGCAAACCCCTCCGCACATTTATAAAGTTTCGGTCAAAAAGACGGCCCGGTCAAAAAGACGGCCAGCCCGCAAACTGGAAAGTCCAAAGACTCGAAGACTTGATGAGATCTGGCCGTTTCCACTGCTACGACCGAAGCCGAAAATCAGTTGTGTAAGATGAGTATGTTTTTCGGGTTGCTGAAGAACCGGAATCAATGAATATGTGGCAGAGGTCAGCATTTTTTGGCTGCACGAACCTTCATTTTAAAGGCTACGTAAGAAACCAAAACAGCTCGACCCAAGTGACTTTGGTGGTCCTGACCAGGAGTTTTCGCTAAAGCTCGCCCGCAGCGATCTTTCTGTCTTGGAATGTGAGTGTTCATGGTTCCGTGCTGCAACGTCCAACCCATTGGATCTTGCTTCAAGAAATCAGGCTTTGTCTCTACGATAATTATCGTCAGCAACCCTTGAGCCAAAGTGTGAAAGCTGGACCTTACTGGTTGACCCCTAAGAAGACTCAAGTAGAGTCATTTAATTTGTCACAAGTGATTCCTGCCACTCGTCCCAAGTGATTCGTTGTGCTTTCTGGCCCCAAAAGGATGCCAGTGCCACCAACGCGATTTCTGAAGCTTTGTGTCTGAAGGCCGGGAAAAGTGGTCGAGGCTCTTCTCTGAGCTGCGCGAAAGCTTGACGGTCCCCGAGGCATGGGTGTGCGATGGACGGATTTTATTTTGGCGCTGAAACCTGCGGTTTCAAGAATCTGGGGTGCCTTTTGGGAGTCTTTCTCAAACGGGTTACAATTTCTCGATATTAGCACACCCCCCCTGGCTTGCTTTGTTACAGAGGCCGGCCAACCTTGGCTCAGGTGCGGCGCTGCCGGACAGTTTGTACCTGGTGGAGGAGGCAGAGAGCTCAGCACAAAGCAGCAGTTGTTTGACCAGTTCAAATCCCTCCAAGACAGAATCCGACCCAACATTCGTTCAGGTACGCACCTTTCCAGTCAGGCAACCTATGCCTCAAGAGCTGTTTGAAAGGGTACAAGCACAAAATGCCTGTTTGTTGTGGCCGAGCGCGGCTCAGCTTCTACGTAGCAAAGGAGCCCGAAATACAAGTGAGGCTTTCGGCTGCTACTGGGCGCGATTCCTGCGATGAACCGTCGGGAACTTGAGATGTCTCCATCCTGTTTGCATGTGCATGCACAGCAGTGTTGTCAGATGTTGCAAGCAATTTCATTGAAGAAGAAGGCGTCAGTCGTGGTGTTTTGCACTTTGACGCCATACTCGGGATGTCACAGATGCTGTTGCCACGCTCACACTTCAAGCTGTGCTACGCATGGTTCTCTGAGTCATTGCTGAATGTCAAACATCAGAGCCGAGCTCGGGGCAAATTGCTCTAGTGTTGAGCACGTTGGCCCCTTAAAGGGCTTGTCACTTGTAGGCCGGGTGGCCTCTCCCAGCCTATCGTGGAGGTTGGAAGCCAGCAGAAGCTGAAGTCAATGACGCTTTAAAAGTGCAGTCTGGTTTTGACGCTTGAGCGCCGTGAGTGGGTCTAAGGGGGTCTAGCGAGAGCTGAGCAGGCCTTGTGGTCCGAAGATTTGGGTGAACATCGAGGACAAGCCTGGAAGGACATAGGGATCATCCTCAGCCCTCAGCCCATGGCAGCAAAACGTGACCTTAACGTACCAGATGACAGGATCCTTTTTATTCACATGCTGTAGGAGCTGCTCCTGGGCGGGATAACACTCCAGCAGCGAGCTGGGACCCCCCAAGATGATTACGAGACTTGTCAAGGCATGGGTTGGTGCCATGAGGAAGGACTTTCCGGCACGCACCTGCCCCAACAGTTCCCACATCACGCTAAAATGACTTCTAAGGAGAAGCTCTGCAACCAGACGTCGCAGTTTGACTCTGCAATCAGGCTTGCCTGCGGGGCATGCTCATTTCTTTGGTGGTAACCTGCAACAGGCGAGATGTACATCGAACACTCCCGCAAGAGGAGCTTTTCCGGGAGCGCCAGGGAAAGGGTCAGCAGGCACTTTTCAGGCAGGAAATCTTGAAGTCTCCCAGACGGACATGTGAATGTCATCCAAGTTTCAATGTGACATGCTGCGTGACATCGTGTGACAGACTGCTCCGGGCGCTAGCCATACGTTTGTGGGATGTGGGCTACTGCCATTCGCCTGCACCGAGCTGGCACTTCTTGGGGGTTCCCATGAAGAGGCATTGTGATGCATTGTGATTGCCGCTACCCTTGTTCCTTTCTTACTTGCTACGCGCAGTCCTTCTGAGGCCAAAGCCTCAACTTCATTGTAGCGACGCTCATCGGGGTCAGCCATGCAGATTCAAAGTAGAAGTCAACAATGGTCACGTCCAGTCGATCGCTAGTCGCGCAGCATTGTGTTTGCGACTTGCAGTGTCAGCTGTGATAGGTCTTTCCGGATGACGAGACGCTGGTGTTCAACTGTTCTTTGGCCCTGCTGCTGCGGCATTCGCTGGTGGACACTTGCCTCGATGTAGGACTCATGGCTTCCAGCCGCAAGTTATTCGGGCGCGTCTGAGAGTTTGCACTCCGAGGATCTTTATCGCCCAAGGTTTCCGAAGCTTGGGGTGGCTTGTCAACGGCAGCTTATGAACACGTAAATGCAATGTATTCACGTTCCTCATCTAGGTGAGTGCTGCGTCTATGGAAACCCATGCATGGCGGATGCCAGAGACATTTTTGGATCCCACCCAGGCGATGTGACACAAAACTCACTTGTTGCAGGTTATCATCTGGCAGTTTGATCGCATTGTCGAGGGCTTTCTGCCCAAAGTTCACGCTGCGCTCACAAAGCATGGTGTCAACTCGGAGTACTATGCCATTCAGTGGCTAGGGACTCAGGGGGCTGGAAAGGTGGTTTCTTTGTTGCCCCACTTCCCTAAGAAATCAAGCCTGATGACACTTTGCACTCAGCTCATGTTTCAGAATTCAGAATCACTCTGCTGACACAGGTTCCTGTCACTGTTTGCCAGCGATCTACCTCAGAGGGTGGTTCGGCGGATTTGGGACAGCCGCGTGGCTGAGCCTTTTCTGCTAGGCTTCAGGCCTAGCTGTGGATTGCTCAGCATGCCAAGTCACAAGAAGCTTTCACAAGAGGACCCTCGCAAGAAGACCCTACGAGCAGCAAGTAGGGACAGCAAGTTTCAGGTCTGCCAGCACTGGGAGTTTAAGATGAGGGGAGGGTTTCAAGGACTGGTCGCAGGGCAGGGTACAGCAGTTGCAAACTCAGGGTTCCTGGTTGCTGGATGGCGCATCATCGTCCAAGTGGGCCTGGCACTTCTGTACAGCATTCAGGATGAGCTGGATGACATGGAGACGTTTCCAAGCAGCGCTTGTGAATCAAACAGCTTGGGTGAGGGGTGCAGTGGGAAGCTCAAATTTTGGCTCTGCCTACAGCACCCAAGGTGTGTTGCATTGAGCTTCCTGCGGAAGTTCGCGCAGTAACTGGGGCGGAAAGAAAATCACAGGACATTTTAGGATAGCTGGGCTGCCTGAAAGCCAAGGACCCGCAATCCGCAATCAGAAGGCCTTCTGAAAACAGCTTCATCCTTTAAAGTTTCTCACAGACTGCCGCGTGGCTGCATTGAAAGTTCTGCTGCTTCATGGCCCACATCAATGGTTGGCTTTGGCCCTTCACTTCCAGGTTATCCGCTCTGGAGGCAGCTTATAGTTGGGAGGACAGCCCGGCTGTTGCAGTCACGCAGTAGCATGTTTCTGGGATGGCATTTTTACGTCCATGCTGTTTAAGACGGCAGTGACTCGCGCAGGAGGATGCGCAGTTGACAGTCGCTTGGCTTTGAATTGGGTTAAGCCTTGATTCATGGGCGACGGCCAAGATATGTCCTATGGGAGCGGGTCAACCAAAGGCTTATCACAAGGCCGAGGCCACACACGCGACACACCGAGTCTCTTCTACCTGCGCGACGGGTATGCAACAAGCCCCGTGTTTCAAGGGTATGTGACAGAGGCCTGTCCGCGCTTGCGATCGGGCACAGGGTTTCAACTTGAGCGACAGCCAAAATTTTCCAGCCCTTAGCTCATGTCTCGGGTGGACATGCTGTAGTGGCTGACGCTGAAAACCCTGTAAAACGATTGGGGAGACAAAACAAAACGATAACCATGATGCTGCTTAAGACGTTTTAAGTAGTCATTCGCGTGAGAAAGGCAAAAATGCTGAACAACGATAGGGGAGACAATTAAAAGGATAACCCCAAGCCCATGTCCATTAGCCAGGTATGGAATTTCGACAGTAGCTGTTGGATGTCTGTCTTGTTCCTGTCTTGTGCCTCCGAGGTCATCAAGGACTTGAACAACGGCCAAGTGCACTGGGCAGTGCAGGCAGTGCCTCGGGCGCCTCCCACGCCCGTTCCACAGGAAGGCACCCCGCCTTGCATGCAGAGCTGAATTACGTTTCAAACCAGTAACGGTTCAGGCACGCAGCAAGTGGAAAGCACCTGTAAGTTCAGTGAGTCAGGTGTAGGAGGGTGCAGGCCAGAAGGTTTGCCAACGCAATCGCTGACTCCCTCGAAAACAACGAGCAGTGTCATCTCCTAACTCCGCATGCGTCCAGCTGGCAGAAAACAGCCCAAAAGTGGCCTGAAGCGTTTTGGAGTCGTCTTGCAAGCGGCATGAGCCTTTGAAGGTGAGGAGCCTCCAGTGCCGATCCCTCGCGCCTTCACGCGAGGCTACCCTCCAGAGCTCGGTAGATGAGGGCCTCTGCTGTGCTCGTCTTGCTTGCTGGTTTGCCCTGATATTTGGCAAGTATGAAGTCACTTCAGAGGCGTGATATGTAGCTGCGCTGCAAGAACAGTTTCAGGCAAACGGAGGTAGCTCAAACGGGTTGTCTGACAATGTGACATTTCAGTTCAGGGCCCTGCCTTTGAGCAGAGTTAGATGGACTTTCTTCGGTGTTGTGTGTCGAGCTTCGTATTCACCGCCTACCGTGCTATGTGCAAGACTGCCTTGGAACAGTGTCCTTGTTAAATCCAAAAACTTGACTTCCCTGCTGGAGGTTCTCCTGTTGGAGCTCCTTGGTAGCACTAAACCGTTCAGGTCTTCTCCCATTCAACCTTCTGTTGGGTCTAGCCGAGTGACACTGCTTTGGACTACGGCGTGGAGCTGGTCCCCGGTGATTTTCAGTCATGAGCAGGCTTGTCCCTCAAAATGTCTGTCTTGCCTGTTGGTGGCAGGCGCAGGTGTTCTTTTTAGGGTCGTCATGATTGACGTCGTCGCAATAGCAGCCATGGGCATCATGAGTGATTGTGACTGTCTCTCCTCTGGCGTCGTGTATTATGTCAACGACATGTGTTCATGGCAGAGAAGTGATTGTCGCGGTCCTTGGTGTAGCAGGAGAAGAAGCAGAAGCACATAGAAGCACGTTTTCTAGCATAGCAGTTCGAGCAGTAGTTTGCAAGGGGAGCTCGTGTTAGCACTAACATGATGACCGCCGCCGCCACCGGCGCGGCTGGTTTGCTTAAGAAATGAGGCATGCCTCAGCGGTGAGGAGGGCCCCGAAGAACGCAACGAAGGCAAAGTTCTTCCGTTTCTTGGCATGACATCCTGATAAAACTTGCCAGCACAAGGCCGCCATTTGTGAGGCAGAGAAGCGACATTACTTGCCAATGGTCCTTCTTGTACCTGTGGCAAGAAAAATTCATCGTATCTATGTTATCGATTTGAGTGCAAGGTTCCTGGTCCGAAATCTGGATACAGGCACCTTGCCTAAGTTGTTCAAGCAGCCTTCCGTTGCACTAGTTCAGCACCATACTTCTCTGGATTGCGGCGCACATCTGAGGCGAGACTAGTATTTTGAAAAGAGCGTTCTTTCAATACCGCGACGAGATTCACAGCGCCCTGGTTGCTGAAGCTGGCTAGTAGCTAGTCCGGCCTGCCTCACCAACGTTCTTGGTTCTTGTTGATTTGCCGAGGACAAGCTCAAGCAAAAGCTGGACCTGTCGTGAGACGACAGTCTGAGTCTGGGTACTGACGCAGGAGCGTGTTGCTAGTGAATCTCGCAGCATCACTTACTTGATCCAAGTTGATTCGAGGCTGCTGCTGAAGTGTTGTACTATGTTGTACTTTCCCTTGGCTTTTGAGCGGCATGTCCCCTGCTGCCTGGTTTCATGTCTAAATCGCATTCGCTTGAGAGTTTAGTCTCACCTGTCAGCACTGCTGCTGCTCTTCACGGTCAGGCTACCACGTGTCAACTAGAAGGGCTGTCGGGCAAGATGACAGGGAAAGAAGCCCATGCCATGAAAAGCAGCACGCCTAGCCATCTAGATGCAGCTGGCTTCCTATACCAGATGGTCAGATGGCCTGCCGGCCGTGCAAAAAAGTGGAGTGGAAGCCCGTGCCGGCACCCACCGAAAGAGGAGCAGGCCTTGAAATGTTGTGGAGCAAAAGCACTGCAGCATTAAGTTCTCAAGCTGCCGCTGCTGTGGCAAGCTACAAGGGCACAGCGTGCACAAGAGCTCTTTGAGTAGCGCCTCTTCCTGGCCTGCAGGGTCTAATGCTACACTTCCTTGTGCTGACCCTCCCAGTTTTCAGCAGCTCCTGCACACTGGACGGCAATGCTTCGCACCATGATCTTGGTAGAGAAGCCGTGCGGAAGATGAGCCAGTCCGCTGCTGGACTTTCCTGGGAAGAGTCCGTTTTCCTCGACATACCATCAAATGCTTCCGCTCGGGCGTCCTTGGAGTTCATAACTCGCAAGCCGCATGTGGCAGGCACACCAGGGGACCTGCACATGGCACAGTACGTGCGCGATGCCTTCCAAAGGGCAGGAATCAGCGCGGAGCTAGACCCACAGAAGGTGCTGCTCACCTATCCGATCAGTAGTGCCCTTCAGCTGGTAGATGGCACAGGCCGCGTTGTATCGGCAGCCAAGCTGGCTGAGGATGTGCTGCAGACAGATAACACGTCTGACACATGGTGGAGGAACCACACTTTCAATGCCTACTCGCCTTCGGGAGATGTTACAGCACCCGTGGTGTATGCAAACTTTGGCTTGCCTGAAGACTTTGCTGCCCTGAAAGCTGCTGGTGTTCAAGTGCGTGGCGCCATTGCCCTGATGCGCTATGGGAAGTGCTTCAGAGGCCTAAAAGCAATGAACGCACAAAAGGCCGGGGCCCTAGCAGCTGTCATCTACTCGGATCCGGAGCAGGATGGCTTCGCTAAAGGAAGCGTGTATCCTTACGGGCCCTGGAGGCCCGAGAGTAGCGTACAACGGGGATCAATCCAGTTCATTTCCCTTTGTGCAGGCGACCCCACCAGAGCATATGCCCCTCACGGAATGGACGTTGAGGAGCTGTGTGGTTACAGCGAGAAGGAGCTCATTCCCCAGATTCCTGTCCTGCCAATATCTTATGGTGACGCAGCCATTTTCCTGGACTCTTTGGGGGGACCAGAGGCCCCGCCCTCTTTTCGGGGCGCGCTGAACATCACTTACCGAACTGGACCAACGGAGACGAAGTACAAAGTGCATCTGCAGGTGGCAAACCACTTTCAGTCGTCACCCGTGTGGAACGTAATCGGCAAGATCCCTGGTACACTGCCGGCTGAGCTTGACCAGCCAGTTGTATTGGGCAACCACCGCGATGCCTGGATTTTCGGAGCAGCGGATCCGAACAGCGGGACCGCACAGCTTCTTGAGGCTGGAGCGCAAGTTAGGGATCAGTGGAGAGCTCTGAGCCGCCTAAATCCTAAATCCTTCCTCCATGGGAAGACATGAGAATGTTCATTTAAGATAATTAGCAGCCTTGAGGTTGCCAAGGGCTTGGGCGAGCTGCTGCAACGCGGCTGGCGCCCGCTTCGTAGCATCTTCCTATGCTCCTGGAGCGGGGAAGAGTATGGCCTCTTGGGCTCCACAGCATGGGGTGAGGTCAATGGAGATGGCCAAAGGGCCGTGTTGAAGCGAGCCCTGGCCTACCTCAATGTTGATGTTGGCGTTTCAGGACCCCACTTCAGGGTTGCGGGAACGCCATCGCTGGCGCAATTGCTGGCTGGGGTCTTGGGCCACGTCCGCCACCCTGAATCCCAGAAGCCACTTTCCGAGCAGTGGTCAGGAAAACTCTACTCCCTAGGTTCAGGCTCGGATTATACAGTTTTCATTGACCATTTGGGCATTCCATCACTGGACATGTCTTTCACACCTGGTAACGCGCAGTATGGAGTCTACCACTCCGTGTACGATTCCTTTACATGGATGGCAACGGAGGGAGACCCAAATTTCACCTATCACGTAGCTATGTCACAGGTTTGGGGCCTGACCACTCTGCGACTGGCGGGCTCCACAAAATCTGGAAATTTGCCGCTGCCATTGAACCTGACTATCCAGGCCCAGGCTATTCAGGGCTACATCGCGGAGGCCCAGGAAAGCCTCAATGGGACAGCACAACGCAAGCTGTGGTTCGAACCTCTGGAGCAAGCCAGCGAGGCTTTCCTCCGGGCAGCGCAGCACGCTTCAGCGGAGGCTGACCGATTGAGGAGGCTTGGACCAAGCGCTTTCCACGAAGTCGTGGCATTCAACAACCGCATCGGCCTCTTGGAGCGCAGCTTCTTGATGGAGTCTGGGCTGCCAGGTCGAAAGTGGTTCCGGCATTGTCTGCAAGCCCCGGGCCTTTACACGGGCTACGGGGCAAAGACGTTCCCTGGCATCAACGAAGCCATCTCCGCCGAGGAGTGGGACCTGGCGCAATCACAGATCAAGGCCTGTGCCCAAAGGATCGAGGCCGCAGCAGCTTCCATCACAGAGCCAAACCGCTTCATCACCGTATGACTGGAAAGCGACACGCAAAAAAACGATGCATCAGAATTGAATGCTCTGTATTCCAGCACTGCTGGTGAAAGGAGATGCCCATTTTTTCCAGACTTGCAGGCCTTATCCGAAGCTGCTGACAGCCTTGTCGCTGGTGAACTTGCCGGGCCCCCACAGGATTTACGACATGTTTAATATCCCTACCCCGATGGCCGCACAGGCACAGATCTACCAGTTGGTCAAGGCAGGGTGACAGAAACTGGCCAGAGGGCAGCTTGGTATTGCTGGGGCATTAGCCTTTAAACCGGGGAGTAGGGGGAGGTTGTGGTGGATTTGCAGAAAGTCGTCGCCTCGAACGCATGCAAATTCAAAAATGAGCTGGGATGTGCTTTAGGAGGCTAAACACCGCCAGGGGCTGACTTCTTGGGTGTCGCCCGGGGGGGCCAGCATCAGCAATATATTCTATGGACCTGAGGCATTCTGAGGCGTGATTTCCTGTGCGCCGGCAGGCGTATCATGGTGTCGCGAGGATGATGCTCATGCTGCTGCCCAGAGGGCCCAATATCATCAGCATCACGGGGTCCCATGTGTCTCATAGGGTTACAACTGGGTATATGTTGGAGAGCTGTTAGACATAAGGCTTGACTTGGCTCGTGGGATGCCTGATTGCATCGCTAGAAAAGCTGCGGGACTTATTGCGCACGGGTTGGCGGTTCGGCCTGTTGCCGTCAGCAAGGAGGGTCGCAAGCGGTTGAGCGCAAATTGCTCTGCGTAATGGGCACATTACTCACAAACTGCTGGACGCGGGACTTGTCTTTGGTCTGGCATGTCTCTCGGCATAGGGCTACCCAACATAGGCTTAATTACGTGACGTCACCGATGGTGCGGACTTTGCTACTTGAATGAGAATTCCAACATTGAATTGCAGGCGATCGGCCACGCTAGTAGAGCTCACCAGCATGACCACACAAGGTCAGTTTGCGGTTCGACGCTCGACGTGTTGCCGCACTGTGAGATGCAACAGCATTTTAATAACTAGCATGGAGACTAGCAAGCTGTTCTGCACAGGGCTCGTTTTTGATGCAGCACAGCTCTCTGTGATGGGCTGTTTACTACTCGTACAAAGCTGCTGGACATGCGATTCGTTTTTGATCTGGCATCATTCTCGGTGTGGGCTCGTCTGCCATCCGGCATAGCTTTGTGTGATACCACCGTCTAGCGTCGGACTTTGCTACATGGGACAGGGATCCCAACATGGAGCAAGAGGCTTCTAGACAGTGCGAGAACTAACCAACAGAGCCTACCCAGGTCAGCAAACTGTCCAAGGTATTGTCTTCAGCACCATGGAGGGCAGCATGCTGTTCGGAGTGGGGCTTGCGTTTAATCCAACATGCCTTTGCGAAATGCAGCCAGGTTCGAACACTGCATACCCGAGGCTCCTTTTTCCTCTAGCATGGCCCCGCTGTTAGAAACGGCTGTTAGAAATAACAAGCATGGCTTCACCAAGTTAGCCTGCTGTTAATCATGGGGCTCGTTTTCGCTGCAACATCGCTCTGCGTGATGGGCACCTTGACCAAGCTGCCGACGTGGAGTTTGTTTTGCTCCCACTTGGTTCTCAAAATGCGATGCTTGTCGCCACATTGTTACACAACAAGCTCATCTTGACCCAACCTAACCCTTCGAAGTAAACACGCCTTTAGCTTGGGGTTAGTTCTGTAGTGGCTCCCGCGTCTTGCCGGGGGAATGCTTTCCGTAGTTTCCAAGCTGGTTTACAGACTGACCGGCGTGCCGGTCACAGCTTGTTTTTCCGTGTCAGGCCAAAAGCGATCGAGTAGCAGAGAAAGAAGAGCAGCTGCCGCGGCCTTGGCCCGCTTTGGTTCGTCTCGAACTTGTAGGACTCTAAGGCAACTGCGTAAAGGTCAGCAGAAGTTCATGTGCATTTGAGGCATCGCAGCCAGTGCCTGGTTGCAGAGGCTGCAGCTGGCCTCAGACCTGACTGAGCGTTGCACTTCCAAAGTGCTGACCATAGCTGCGATAGTGTGGAGGAGGAGCTCATGAGCGGTGGGCGTTTTAGGTTGAGTTGTACGAAAAATCCTCGCAAGAACCTAAACTGACAACGGTAAACCTTAAACGTCTGTTGGCTAGTGATAGAGCCGTGTTGAACAGTGGCTAAGAGCAGTAAAGCCTGAGACCTGTCATGCGATGTGCCGCAATTTGGTGGTTGCCTTTGAGTGCACGCAATTGAGATTTGACCAATCTCCGAGGTTGGCGCAGCCAAGGCTCGAGTACAAGCCTGAAACGTAGTGGGGCTATGTGGTGCAATGAAGAGCTGAGCCAGCTTTGGGCTGTTGAGCTCCTTGCGCGGAGCTAGCACTCCATCGGCGCGCAGGTCCGTCTGCGTGCGGAGGTTGCGCGCACCTCAGATCAGCGGTGCGCAGCGGTACTACTGAGAAGGCTACTTAATGATACTTAAGTCACGTCACCAAAGATGCTGCACGGGCTAATGTCGGCATGTAGCAGTGTGAGCCTCTAACAAGTCATTGCATCCGTGGCGTCGGAGGATGAGCTGCTTCGCAGCTCTCATCAAGAGCTGAGGAAGGAGGCCCGAATCATGGCCTAGGTCAGAACCGCTTGCAGGCACCACGGTGTAGGAAAAGTTTTGCTGAAAGTTCTGGCCCTGACCCAGCAAAACCCAGATATGCATGGATACATGATATGCGGTAAGGGTTATGGCTTGCTGTTGAGCTCATGCTCGGCAGGCCAACGCCCAAAGACGGCGTCAAGACCTGAGCTGGGGAGCTATAGATTCCTAGTCTACTCTGGCACTCCTGGCCTCAGAAGCGCAGCCCCACTTCGTTCTGACCGCACTTCTTTAGCATGTGCTACGGCCAGTGCCGTTGATACTACGGAGGTCTTGAAGAGCTTCTCCAGAAGGCTCAGGACATTCGGGCACAGACGGCCACACATCAAGGGGCAGCATCTAAATGTAAAAGAGTGTGACAGAATTCTAGCGCATCGTGCTCTACCCCTTAGCCATGACATGATTACAGAATCAGAAAAGGTTCGCATTGTGAAATTATGAAATGCAACGGATTGACCTCATCGAATGGACCAGCGGGAACATGCCCACTGAAATTTCAACCATCGTCAATCAGCATCCCATGGACAGCCAGACACGCCATCAAAACACGGGCGCTCAAGTTTCCATTTCTCCATCCAGATCGTTTCGTGATCCAGGATTGTGCTCACAGGCTGTCGCAACCCTTGTGGGAAGATGCGCCGATAGCAGGTCTTTCATTTCAGATATCTGCAAGCCAGCAGAGGCATTTTTCATCCAGATCCACACCTATCTGCAAAATCCACAAAACTGGCTTCATGCTGTCCGCGCATCGCGCTAGGTTCTTGGATCCCAAATTGTGCGAAAGAGACCGAACACCCCCAACTCATGTTTCTCGTCTTGGCGACTAGGAGGGGCAAGGTGTCCTCAGGACGTGACCGTGTCACAGCATCGGACCTAATGATGTTATCTGCATCATGGTGGCTGCGGTGCTGGCGGCGGCGGCGGTGGGAAGATAAGTTCAGCGCTGTGGCTGCGCATTTGCATCGAGTGTCGCATGCGCTGTGCAGGAAGAGTTCCGCAAGGCTGGCAGTGAGAGAGGGTTTGCTAGGAGAATCCTTGGCTTGCCTCGCTGGAAGGCGGTGGCGTGGAGAAGGGAGGCGCGGACTTTGAAGGCCATGAGATATATGAGATCGGGACGAGACCACAGGGGCGGACGCAAGTTTGTTTGTTAGTCAGAAACAAACGTTTCCTGGAAAGCTTTCCAATGTTTACTATTTGGTCAGAGATTAACTTCATGAAAAACTTACGTTAGTTTCGCGAACCTTTGCTGGGGCCGGAAACTATGATTTACGGCGAATGTTGGTTCCAACTAAACTCAGTTTTCTGGGGAAAAGTTAGTTTCACAGTTTCCCTCTAAACTCAGGTTTCTGGGAAAAGTTAGTTTCGCTAGAGGGAAACGAACCTTTTCCGGAAACCCTTGCTGGGGTTAGAAACTGAGGTTTGCGGGAAAGGTTTGTTTCATTGGAGGGAAACAAATCTTTTCCAGAAACATTTACTGGGGACGGAAACTCTGGTCTTGGCAACAAACTTTTGCCAGAAACCATTGCTGGGGTTGGAGACTGAGGTTTCCGGGAAATGCTAGTTTCATTTGAGGGAAACAAACCTTTTCCAAAAACCTTTCTTGGGGCCGGGAACTAGGTTCACGGCGAATGTTAGTTTCAAAGTTAGTTTCCCCGTGAAAACAAACTTTTTTTTGCCTCTGCCATTGAAAACAAACCTTTTTGCCTCCAGCATTAGTCGACCAGACATAGGCGCACTTACCGCTCAGCATCGGCATGGCAGATTTTGTCAAAACGTCAGTCAATTGCTGGTTGTTCGAGCAGTGTCCAAAGCCCAGGGGACAGCGTCGAGCGAGATAGAGACCCGCGAGAAACTCCAGAAAAAAGTTCAGGACCCTAGAGGATTGTAAGCTTGTTGCAAGATTGCTTAGCTCACTGAAGCTGCGACTTTCAGCTTCTGCGTGTTCCAAGGAGCTTCTGCGGCGAGAGAAGGCGCCTGTTGCATCTGCAGTTCTGTCATTATACAAAGGCAGCCAGTGCTCGTCATTGATTTAGAATCTCAGTGCAAAGCACGGAAGAAGGCATGACATTGAAGACAAAGCAAGGCAGTAGTCTTGAGAGTCCATGCCGCCTGCGCTGAATACGCCTCAACGTTGATGCTTATGTTTTGCACTGACTTTCTTCTTGGTAGCACAAAACGGGCAAAGCCAAATTTGCCCAGCAAGCATCAACTGCACCCCTCCCTGCAGAACCGACCCCGACACTAAACACATGAAGAGCGACTGCGCAGCTCTAGAACGGGAGCACCCAATTGTGCATCCATGCACCGCAGCACCCCGAGAAGCAAAGCTCGGCAGGCCATGAAGCAGCAACACGCGCTTGAGCGCGAGCAGCGACCTCGGCCGGGCAGCTCCAGATTTCCCTCGAAGTTTGCCTTTCACAACCACCTGACCTACTCAATCCCCCGAGTAACTTCCTTTACGCAAAAGCTGGGCAGAGGCTGCTTGGTATTCTCGATTCAAAATCTGCGCTGGCACTGGGCTGAGGCGATGGGCTGCAGAGAAGGAGCAGCGCCTTGAGGGTTTGCCGAAAGGTTCACTTGCCAAGTCTTGTGTCCGCGGAGATTCGCTGCAGGGTTCCGCACACGTCAGCGGAAAGTGCTGGAACTTACGGCTGAAGCAGCTCAAGTAAGACTGAGAATTGCCCTAACCTGAAACCCGAAATGGTAGCATCTCATTTACGTCTGCGTTTGCTGAAGGAGCTGCTCAAAAACCAAGCTCTGCACGGCTCCTGGTCCGAAGCCGTTTATGATCGCAATTCCGTTGGCTGGAAGGTCACGTTATTCCGCAAGCTTACTGTGCTGCAGCAGACCATGTTGCTCTCTCGGCTCAAGGCGCCCAGAGCAGGGATCATGGATGCATGATGCAGCTTGACTGATTAGCTCCTAGTGACTAGATTCTGGTGACGACGTAGTGCTACTGATGAGGCATTAGGCGGTGACTGCCAGATCTAGTGCAGGGATGGCATGTCCGGCTGCGCAGATCGTGGGTCCACTTGCAGGGGCTCAGAAGCCTGTGGACAGCTTCGACCTGCACATGACACTACTTGCATTGTGCAAATGCCTTCACGAGTCAGGCCAGGTCCCTGAAAGTCGCCTGTGCATCGAGCTGCACAAAGTTCGCTTTTCCACCATGCAACAGCTGCATCCGAGCAATTCTGGATGCACTTTCAAGCGAGTAATGCAGTCAGAGAGCATTCTCACGCAGTGCATGAGTTATGCTGATCGCTTTTTGGCCATCGAGCTTTTCAACACGTGCAGAGTGCTGGCTCGAGGCTTCAGGTCCAACCCGCAGATGCTCCCTGGCGTTCACCTGACCCTTGGGCATCAGATGTGGGAGTGGCATCCGAAACCTGGAACTCTGAGATTACTTGGCCATTCCATTCCACGGACCCAGTCCAGTCACTCTACGCTTGCGCAACAGCGCGATGTGGTGGTGATATCTGGAGGTACAAGCTCAGCACTGCATGCTGGGATCCGCTGAGCAGAGCATCACAAGCATAGCTTCACCCAACCCCGTATTCCAGTGCGCAGCTGATTTATGTATGTGTCTACCTGTATGTGTATAGGGTACGGTACTGCTGCACTTGTGCAGTTCCAATCAATAACTCTAGCCCAAGAACCTAGCGACCATCCTGAAAGGTGGATTTGGGAGCGTTGTGCGGCGTGTTACGAGGTCGACATCCTTGCTAATGAAGCCTACTGGCCACTGGGAGAGCTTACCACCCATGGTGAAGAAACGAGAGTTCCACGCAGCAGCTTTCTTGAAGGGCAAACTTTACGTCTCTGGTGGCTTGAATGATGAGTTTGGTCAGGACAAGACTGGGGAGGAGGCAGTTCATGGTTCAGTTGAGTGCTTTGATCCTGGCACGAAGTCTTGGTGCCAGCTACCGCGAATGACTATGCGAAGGTACCATCATGCCTGCACTTCTCATCTTGGCTGCCTAGTTGTCACAGGTGGCATCTCCCCTGATCGTCTTGGAGGTGAAGGACCACTTGCGACTGCAGAGCGATATGATCCCTCCAAGCAACGTTGGTCACAGATGCCGGCCATGTCCACAGAACGCTCCCGACACTCTTTAGTTAGCATAGATAGCACCCTCTATGCTTGTGGTGGCACGAGCCCTGGCACTACGCATGCCTTTGAATACTTAGATGCTACCCTGAGCTCTTGGGTCCTCCTCCCTTTGTGGAACAGGCCTGATGCCATCCAAACATGCCTGGCATCCACCGGATGCCAGGGACAATTGTACATATTGAGTTGCAAGCCTTCTGCGGCATTTCAAGCTGACCAAGCGTGCTTGCAAAGATTTGATCCGAGCACTTGCGAATGGTCAGAAATGCCCCTCAAAGTCCGGACATCGTAGCGACAGCCATCGACGGTGTGCATGACCACTTTGCAACGAGCCGAGCTCTAATTCATTCATGGAAACCTATAAGCCAGCCTGGGTCTTGCCCACAGCACGGAATGGCTTCCAATGGCTTCCAGAAAACGTTGTGCAGAGTTTAGCGCCTTCCGTGAGGGCCACACCCATTTTGTCGAAACCGGCTTCTCCACAGACATGCTGGGGACGCTGCCATTTAAGCTTTTTTTCTAGATAGAGGTGCGCCATGCCTCGGCTCGAACCGGACGTTGTTCACAATGACAGCGAAAACAAATAAGGCCCTCGTGAATTCGCAATGGTCCCCAGCCTGCAGGGCTTCGAGAGTTGCCGTGTTCGCTGTGATGGGGTTGACAACTGCAGGACTTCACTTCAGTTGCTCCATCCCAGGACATTTTGCACAGCTCCGACGGTAGCTAATATTCGATCTGCATGCCAAGGCTTCAACAAGAGGCTCAGCTGAGGCCAGATGCAGTTGTGGGACAGTGGCCTTTCAGCATCCTGCCAGTGTGCTTGGCACATGCAGAATTGCCGAGTAGTTAGCATGGCCTGCGGTTGCAGTTTGCGCATTATGCCTTGGGGGCCTGGCGCAGTGCAGTTAGCAACAGACATGCAGTCCGGCCATGTGCGCATAATCTATCGGGGCAGGAGCAGATTTCGTCATGCCACTCAGCTCTGTAGCTCTAGCATTCATGGCCTGTGCATTCGTCAGTCGTTTGGCTTGAGTTCGTGTGTGGTGGAGTCTGTCACCAGCGTTTGTTGGAGAGAATTTCCCAGTAAGCAGCTATGGGTGTCACGGACAACATGACCTGCCTGGTAAAAGGGCCAAAGGAAGCTTACCTGGTCCTGGCAGAAAAGGGTCGTGACTCGTTGAGGTTCATAATTAGATGTCTGAGCCAATGGAGGCGTAGGAATTGCACAAGAAGCATTGCAAGCGAGCTTGGCATCCGAGGTTTGATGGTGCAGGAGTCGTCGCTGAAGTTCTTCGGCCAGTGCTTTCTCGCTGGCTGCTACATTGGCTTCGGTGCGCAGCTGGCTGTCGCGATCTCTGCCGCAATGCCTGGAATCACGGACGAGAATCCCGGGCTGAAGAAGTTGATTTTCGCCTACTTGTTCCCAGTGAACTTGGTGCTGATAACCCTCACCGGTGGAGTCCTGTACACGGGCACCGCAGTTGCCACGCCTGCTGCTTTCTTTGAGAAAAAGGCCTCCCTCCTGGACGTCTTGCGTTGCTTGGCCTTGTCCTGGGTGGGTAATCTGCTGGGATCACTCTTCTTCGCGGGCTTCATCTTGTGGTGCGACCTGCTTGACGAGAACACCCAACACAGCTTCCTGTCCATTGCGGAGGGTAAGACGAGCAAAAGGTTCGATGTGACCTTTGCGAAAGGCATCGGCTGCAACTGGATGGTCAGCATGGCAGTCCTGCTGTCTGGGCAGGCTCAAGATATGTGTGGGAAGGTGGTAGCAATCTACCTGCCCATCTCAACCTTTGTCATGTTGGGATTCGAGCACACTCCAGCAAACTTCTATCTACTTGGGATGTCAGTCGAGGTTGGAGACATATCCTTCTGGGAGATCCTGCTGAAGAACTTGCTCCCCGTGACCCTGGGCAACCTCGTCGCCGGTGCCATGGTTGTGGCTGGCAGCTACTCCTTCTTCTTTGGCAACTTGGGAAGTCACGTTGGAAGTGAAGCCAAGGAGCCACTGCGCAGGTTCCAGGCGCAGCGATCCATGGGCATTGAACCCGCAGAGGCCTTCAGGAGCCAGTCTTCTCAAGATCCTGAAGATCCGCCTCAGGATGACCAGGTGGATGACAATTCCAAGCGCCAAGCCTCACGGCAGACTGCTGCTTCCACTTCTGCACCCAGCGCCAGTTCCCGCGTTTCGTTCGATTCCCTGAGCCAGGCTGAGCGGGCACAGTGGCTGGCAGCACCATCGGGCAGGGTCAACAGGATCTGTCCTGCATGAGGCTGCATGTGTTTTTGAATGTTTTTGACCACGTGGACCAGACTCTTATCCATAAGGTCAGCTTGAATTCAAGCCTGTGCATAGTGCTCGCAAAACACTGCATCTTGCAAAGTAACACCCCCCAAAAAGTGTTTCTACTCAAAGCTTGGCCTCCGGCGCAGGATTTTGCAAGCTTTCTCCAAACAGGCCATTTTCAAACATTTAAGCTGGCACCTGTCCAGCTCGTGCCACTATGTGCCACTTTCCTTGCAGATTTTGCATGAGCGCCTTTCTTATTGCCTAGACACAAAGCTCTGGAAGGCGCGAGGGTGCTTTGGAACAGGAGCAGCATAGTTAGCTCCAGGCGTGCGCGAAGTGCGCCCGCCGGTGTCAGTCTGTGAACGACACAAACCCATCGAGAGCATTGGGAAGTTCTGCCGGCAAAACAAGGCAGCATCGGGATTCGCTGTGTCTCCTAGCTCAATAGCACTGCCGGTAAAAAAAGGTTGGACCAGGAGTTTGGACCCCCAGCATTGAGATCAGCACAAAGGCAGATGAGTGGAGATGCAGTGTAGCCAGGAACAGATGTCGTCATGCCACTTCAAGCAATGAATGACAGTCAAGGAAAGGAGGTGAGTGGAGAGAACGCACAGCGCATTTGCGCAAATGAGTGAGAACATCAGGTACACATAGTACACGTGCTGAAGTTGCTGTTTGTTTTTTTCTGGTCGAGCAATGGTGCTGGCAACTCTTCTTGCAGCCTCTGCCTGGGCCGTGGCTGCCGAGCCCGCTGAATCGCTTGTTGAATGGGTGGCTCAGACAGGCCGACAGGCCCAAGCATGGCGGGAGTGATGCACCAAGCCACCACAAAGGATACAGCTTTAGCAGGAGCTCAGTCATTCTGCGAGCATTTTGAGTGTAAGAAGGCGTTATTCACAAGCACGTTATTTGGCGGATGCAAAGGACGTATTTTGTTCCTCCAACCCAGGTGGTCGGTGCCAGGGATGCTGATTGCGAGACAGTGTGTGCTGGTCTCGATTCCGAGCCCCTTGTCCACCTTGTCCATTTTGTCCAGCTCTTATGAAGGCACGTCGTCAAAGGTTGCGCGGTTGCCGAGTCCTGATACTCCAGGTGTGATGAGGGTTCGTGGCCAAGTAGCCCGCAAGACTGGGAAGCGATAGCAAGCTCCACATCAGGACTGCAACTGCTACAGGGAAAACTCTTTACCCTAGGTTATCTCTTCTGCCTCGAGTCCTTGAGTTTTGAGGACTACTTTGCGTGGCTTCGGCTCCTGGAGGTTGGCTACACAACCCGTCGATCTGCACAGAGGGAGGCCCAGCGCCCGGGGATCTTCGACTGCAGCAGGGGGATAGCTACAGATGGTCAGGGGATAGACTAGGCAGACTTGACTGGACCAAAAGCAGCCCAAATGTCTAACCCAGGTCTGCTTCTGGGACGGTGGCTACTTGAATATGTTGAGTTCAGATGCCGCCTACAGGTGCAGTGGTCAGTGCTTCAAAGCCAAGCATCATGGGAGACTCAGGAGGCGCACCGCGCTGCCGTGGCGGAATGGGCGAGTTCCCGTCCATTGTGGCCCGGAGGATTTGCCCGTGCCGGCACAAAGAGGCACGGAGGAGAGAAGCGTTCTAGTAAGATCAGTGGTATGAAAACAAGCATGCTCCACGCCGTGAGGCCAAGGAGGATAGCGCTGCCGCAGTGATGTCACTTTTGAATGCTGCAGCTGGCAGCTGAGGGCCAGGTCTCTCTAAGCTTGGGTATGAATTCCTCCCCTCTGATTTTTGCACAAGGTCCTTACTTCCGCAACAAAAGTGGGTGTCAAAGAGCCGCTGAAGATACCAGCAGAGTGCCTCGGACACTGAGCTTGGCGGGGTCAGATATGAAGCAGAGATGCTAGCTGCTAGCTTAAGCCTTCCTGAGGGTGCAAAGTCACTACCTGGGCTGCTCTCGAGGTGGCTGCCAGGCCCGCATGTAGGGGAGACTTCCAAGAGCAGTGCTTCTTTGCACCTGGACATGGCGAAGAGCCGCAGGTGCCTGCGAAGATTGATAGATTTGGTCTGTGGACAGGACCAGGCAGGACCGTAATTCCTTCCCCTCTACAAGAGTGCATATACATATGCATATTATGTATATATATGGGGGTCGTTCAACGACCCCTTTCTAAACTTTGATATGCACGGCAGTTCATGGGTTGTTGAAAATGAGGGGCGCACAAAAGGATTCGTGAAAGGGTTTACTGTGGTCAAGCTTATCTCTCGCAATGCAAGCGTTGGCATATCTTTGGTCGACAGAACATGATCGCTCAGCAAGTTGTTAGTTTTGTCGTCTTCGTGAAAGGTCACAGGGCCGCGAAGGGTACGCGAAAGACCCATTTCCTGGAAACGGAAACGGAATATTTGAACAGCCCCGACATAGAGATTTTGATTCAATCCACCAACCTCATATCATGACATGATGCTGTACATTGTACAGTTGGGCCAGGAGGGTTTGAAAAATGATTTAGTCGGCAAAGTTGCGTGGCAGGAATGACTCTTATAGCTGCAGCCCAGGACACAATGCCCAACGCGTCGTTGTCATCTCTACTTCGCAGCTGAGACGATGAGCGCTGTGCTACAAAAAGACCTTGAGCAGACGGCCCCTTGCTCTCTCGTGGAATGGCTATCAACAGCGCCTCTGAGTATCGCAGGCCGCTTCTGAATACCATGGAAGACAGGATCCCAGTGACAACAACAGGTTTCGCGCTGAGACAGTGACTCGCTGTCTCCTGTCAGCCCAGCTTTAGGACTTGGGCTTGGCAATGCCCCGGATGGCTGAGGTCCCGCTGAAGAACCCTTTCATTTTCCACTTCACTCAAGAGAATTAGCAGCCCGAACCCCAGTTCAAGTGTCAGCAAAGGGGCTACACTGAGCTGCATGAAGTCGTTGCCGGCCAAAGCGACTATTGCGCTGCTGGGGGAGGGGGTGCACATCAAGCACAAGCGCCTACAATTAAAAACAGTATCGATCAAAGATTTCTTTCGGTCTGGGATCGAATGACTGGGTCTTCCACAACGGGCCAGCAACTGGCATAGCACTCTACCATTTTTTTTTTGTTTCCCGGTCCTGTGGTCCGTGGTACTCTGGTCTAGTGCTCCAGTTCTCCCTGGGCCCCCATAGCACTAATGCCTGCATTCAAATCTATCACAGTCATCCCTTTCTCCTGATCACTTTTCGCAAAGATTTGGTATGATCTTGTACATCATCAGGGTGTTGGTACGGGATTTTAGGAGGGGGCTGGCCAGGCCGGCCCATCTGCCAAGCCCATAATTCCTCACATGTCGACCCTCAGCCTTGCAAGACATCCTGCGCAGCAACAAGTTGAATGCAAATCGTCAAATTGTACTCCAGACTGCAGATGCTGAAGCTTTGCATGTCTGATAGGTAGTGAAGAATGCATGGTCTTGCATTGCACGAGCTTCAAATGCAGTGGCTTGGACAAAGCACAGATTCCGCACTTTCATGCACAACGCTGAAAAGTGTAGATAGTGTAGGTCCGTTCTGTAGCACCAATGCGATGAAGACCAAACAGATTGCTGATCCTCGAACGCCGTGAAATGCTGCACGTCACACCAGTCTCAAGCACCACGAATGGTTAAAACCAGCCGTGAAGATCGCTGTGTACAGACAGGCGTATCTATGAGACTTCTATGAGTTTTTGGACTGATAATTTCGATTCCTTAGCGTGCTTTTGTCACCATTTTGGGCTTGGAAGCTTGGTCCGATGTTACATGCGGTTTTGCAACAATGCAAGAGCAGGTCCCCTTGCCGCAAGGTGAGAGCCTTGGACGGATTTGTGGTTGCCTTTGTGCCAGCCTATCTGGCTAATCCAGAGGTCCAGAGCCGTCGCTGGACATTCCTGCACGTGGTCGAACATCCATGTGGCTGGATGAGGCGTCATTGTTCGGTACGTTCGTGCGATGCTTTGTGCATGTTCACGCTGAGCCAGGCCGCATGCGGCCAAGTCGCGCAGGTCTGCTTACCACAGCTTGGTTTGCTTCTTGAGTGGTTTCTCTCCCAGAAGCAAGATGCTAGCTCAAAAGATGTGTTTGGCCCTGCAAAGAGAGCGTTCTCCCTTTGGACATCGCGTATCGTCTTGGAGCGCAGGTTTCTGCTTGTCAGGATATTGTTGCAAAAAAAACAGGATGAGAAATCAAGCTGGGCCAGCTGCTGCGAAGGGATCCGCTCAAGAAACTAGACTCCACAAGCTCTGATCAACATCAGGAGCTAAACTTACTTGCGAAGTCCGACTTTTTATCTTGCCAGTTGGACCTGGACGACTTGGTCTTTCAGTCTGCTGATGCGCCCGAAACCTGATTTGATCTGATCAGTTGACCATAAAGCCAACTGTTGAAAAAGTAGGCTCCCCTTGACTGCACAGTCGACCAAGTGATTAGCCAATCAATCGACCACACAGATCAGTGCGAGTAGCCAATTGGCTGATCCACTCATCAGCCCAGTGCCCACCTGAGCAGCGAGTCTGCGAAGCCAGCCCAGCAGCTCCTCCGGCCAGCTTCTCCCTATTCAAGCTCAGGTGGAGCTCCCATGGTGGTTCAACCTCAACAATGCGGTCGAAGCTGCACAGGGAGGCTTCGGACGCCGTAGGGAGAAAGATCTAGAGCAGCATGACGTGAGATCGGGAGTTTCGCCTGCTGAGCCCAGACGCATCTTTCGCTTGTCTAGCCGCAGGCCGGGCTCGCGACACTGACCCTGATTTCTGCCTGGTGGTCAGTTGACACAGTCATGGCCATTGCCTGAGTCCCTCGGTTTGGGCCAAGGCCCCAACTGCCCAAACAAAGGGAAGTCATCCAGCGCACTGGAAGTCAGCATCTAGCTACACCCTGCAACTTTCGTAGGCAACCCTAGCAGATGGGATTGCATCGTATCCCCGGCTTCAGCAATCCAATCCGAGGCCCTGGGGCCGCGTGGCCTGTGGGGCTGTGCGGCAACGCTGGCCTCTGAGACCCTTGGCAGCAAAGGCATGCTTGAAAGCAAAGATTTGTCAAGTCTGCTAGGGTAGGAAACTGCCCGGAGGGGGGCAGTAGGAGGCTTGGCGGGTCTGCCCGCTCCTCTTGCAAGGTTGAAGATTCAAGAATCTGCTACACCAGGAGAAGTTTTCATCGTTCAACTTTTATGTTTATGTTTCAAGTGACAACCTTCATAAGACCTCGCCAAAAGGATGACACCCCCAAAAACACACCCTCCCAATAATGAAATGGGTTCCAGTACAAGGGTCCCCTTCGGCAGGAATGAAACTCCGTTCTTTGGAGAAATGATTAGGTGGAGTGCTGAGGCCTTTGAGGAACCAGGACGACTTGCCGGGCTGTGGGGCATAAGTAGAGCAGTCTTTGATTCAAAGCAAGTTTATCTTGAGTCATGTCTAATTTGCGAGACACAGCTGCAAGCACTTTCTGCTTTGTTGCTGCGGGTGTTTAGGTTTCACATCCCCACAAGACATGGAAATGGTGTTAACCTCTTAGCAGGAGTTGCGCAAGAACCGTAGACGTTTTTTTGTTATGACTAGCACTCCAACTCCTCAGCGAGTCTCTGCATTATGTAGACCGAAAGCGTTTGTGGTCCCTTGCGCAGCCCAAAGTGCGCTGCCATGGCGAGCGATAAGCAAGTGCTAGCTGCGATTGCAATGAAGACGGGAGGAGATGTCCGTTATTATGAGCTGGTTCAGCTGACCTGTGGAGATGACAGGCGAAAGTGCTATGTGTGCGTTGGAAAACACTCACTGTTCTTTTTGCGACAAGACCTCAATGGGCCCATTCATGAAGGTGCAGATTTGTACTATAGCTCCATCGCAAGAATTCTCCAGGACGAAAACTCTGACCAGCATTGTCTGCTCTCACTGACGGAAGAGCTACCGGGCTGGCCTACAGACAGGTTATTTCTGAAGGCAGAAAATCGGAGCTTCTTCCTCAGGCACTTCCGATGTAATTGGCAGACTGACCACATGTGGCGGCTTGGCCGGGTGGTTGTGTTTCCACTCAGCATCCATCCCATTACGAAAGAGACCGCTTATGATAGCTATGTGGCACCATACCAAGGATATCGCTGGACAAAGTTTCAGGGGTACCGCTTCATGGTGCCAGAAGGGTTTGCTGATCAGGCGAACTCCATCCAAGAGGAGGAGACGGGCGAATATGTTAATGAACAAGGTGTGAGCCTGGTGGTGCACGTGCACGAGGCCTTCAGCCTTGAGCAGCTCTCGCACATGAATCGTGACAACATTCGATGGGTGGCCGCGGACTACAAGACGCAGCTGTGTGCACAGGAACCGCAATTCTATGTGTTAAAAAACGCCCCGCGGGACAAGCATATGAATCTTGCAGCTGACGTTGCGCAATGGCATCAGTGGGAACTCCTAATCCGAACGCGATCAGCTACTATCATCTGTCTCGTCATGCGCCGGCAGTATATCCCGCCAGTTTGCTGCGCCGCGCAAGACATCGCAGTCCTCCTTCGCTGTCCTGAGGAAGAGTGGAAGCGTGCGGAGCTTCCCTTGGTGCTGGAAGCTTACCGGATTGCTGACTCTCTCTGCACAGATTCGCCAAATGTCTCAGTGTACCGTGACATGGTGCAAGCCAAGTTGGACTCTCTCAGGTTTAACGAAGAAGGGGCCGAGTGGGCAGCTGCGCATCTCAAGCTTAAGTCGTGCTGGGAAATCGAAGCTGTAAGATTTGTGAAGAGTATCTGGAAGTTGTTTTGCGAGGACAAGGTGGAAGGTTATGACGCCGAAGTTCTGGAGCTGTCTGCTCAGGAGGTATTAGTCGATGCTGGTCCTGAAGACCAGTGGGCTGAATTGGAGTGCATAGACAATTTCCAGGAGTTTTTCATGAAGATCATGAACGAGGGGGAAGGCCTCCCATCAGGCGCTCAAGCCGAGGCTTTGGATGAAGAGGCGACCCTAAAAGGCAGCTTTTTCTTCCTCTATGCAAAATCTCCGAGCCTCTCTACTGTTTTGCGGTAATTCAGCATGTCAAGATCAGGCCAAGCTCAAGATTCAGCACAGCTGGCTTGCGCGTGTCGCTCGATACTTTGCCTGGGCTGTGGATGGCGGGCTGTTGGGTGCAAGATTCAATCTCGACTTGATGATCGAAGGACCGCCGGTAAGCATGTCATGCACGGAGCTCCATGGCCACTTGTCGTAAGACCATGCTAAGCTTGCAATTTTCCAACAGCCCCATGAACTGTGCGGGATGTGGTGCCTTGAAGGACTATCAGCTTTAACGGAAGAGAGTTACAAGAAAGCCTATGCTGCCTTCTTGTTCTTACTGCATCTGCGGGCCAGAGATATGACCAAGCCCTTCCACGAGGTTAGCCTGACACAGCAGATGAGGGGCCGGAACTTGAGTTATTGGATGTTCAATGACCGCGTGATGCTGGCAGTCCTGAGCACGGACTTCCTAAAGAAGCAAATTGGTAGGGGCCGTGATGCAGACTTCTTCCGTTGTCTTGCAAACCTTTTGGAAGCAGGCTGTGGGGTGACCTTGAAGGCCTACATTTGTAGACTCTTCATGGAGATGAAGGCATCGCGAGAAGCCGATGCCAAGAAAGACGATGACTCCTCTGCAAATCTCATCGTTGTCCCTGCCATGCTTTCACTGCTCAGATCTGGAGGTGCCTTCCTGGCCACCTATGCCTCTGCAGCTCTAGTGAATTTAAGCAGTGGGAACCAGGCAGTAAAGATGCTTTTGATGGGCCAGGGGATGGCCAGGATTGGAGTGCAGAATTTGCAGGCCAAGGAGGATGACCTCAGCTACTACACCTTGATGCTGATGGTGAACTTGACCAAAGAGCCCCATAATCGTAGCCTCATTGCTTCAGCGGGACTCATACCAATCCTGTACGACATCATGACCTCCTCATATGCCCAAGTCCGGCCGACAGGGAAGAAGGCATCAGGAATGAGCACCGCTGCTTTGGGCAGCATTGCAAAGGAGAGATTGCTCACTCAGACATGCATTGTAATTGGACAATTCTGCAATGACGATCGTTTCCGGGAACAGTTCATTGCTCCTTGACAGCACCATGATTTTCCTACTGGCTCCGACCCTAACATGTTCACAAGTTGGTTGTTGCTTCTAGTCCGGCCCCACTTCATCCTCCAAATCGGAGGTAGCAGGGCAGTTTCCGCTCTTCCCCAGAGTATGATAATCAGTCCAGACCAGGGGTTCGGTCAAGCGTAAGAAAAAGCGGCGGAAAAGAGAGTGAGTATTCCTGCAAAAGAGAACGAACAGCATTCGTAAAAGTCACCAGCGTTGCTTTGCTAAGGACATCTATCCTCACACAGTGAAGTGTTTGATGTACATCTTCACCACTGTCCGGATGGGATGTGCGTTATGCTGCAAGGTCATGTTTGCGTTAAAGCAGCTCTGCGCGAGCCGCAATGATCAGAAGCACTATGTCGGAACCCAGGCTATACCTCACTTGATTGAGGGCTTGGATGATGCTGACACCGACATGAATCGCGAATTCGTCTACCAATCGCTGTTGCTGCTCATGATGCTTTCAGGCCTGTCCGCCAACTGCGAGCTGATGTACAAAGAGGGCTTGGTGCCCGTTCTGCAGAGGCTCAGTAACCACCCATCCGCAAAACGCAGTGATGGGTTTCAAGCACGTGTCTCCATGCTCCTTCACAGTATGAGTGATATTGCAGCTGCAGACAATCCTTGAGGGTAAAAGTCCCTGCAAGGTTGTCCTGCAACGAAGGGCAGCAATGCCTTGTTCATACCCTGTAGTAGGAAGCATGCCTGCAAGGGCACTTCTTACAGCGCGTCGTAGCGAAGAAAAGGTGAGTGGGGCTTCATCCTCTTGACATGACATTGTAAAATTGATTGCGGTGAGACGAACTGTTGGTAGTAGTGTGGCTGTTGCCTAAGTCTGCCGCGATCATACTCGCTCGGGCTATACGACTAGTACAGCTTTTTGCGGCCAAGCAGGAGCTCCAGAGTTGGTTTCTGCGACGCTGGGCGTGCAGCCCAGAGCCTCTACGAACTCACGTTTCGCATCATAATCGCATGTTCAGATTTGATATTATGCCCCGGCTTCCAATACTGTCGCGTGAAGCGTGTGGCTGGCCTGTAGCTTTGCCATGATACGGGATTGAGAACCTCAGTCAACTTTTCACGGGACATGTGGAGCGAGGAGTCGGAAGCCTGAAGGAGCAGTTGTCAGAGCTAAACGCTGTGCGGCTTGGATTTCAACACCACTTTACAGGAGGCAGAAGTATCTGGTTTCTGTTCGCAGGGAACATGCGGCCTGGTCTGGTCTCTCAACCTCAGGTTTGGTGTGCTCTCCACGCCGATGCTAAGCAACTCTGGCAGCTGGCAGCAGAGTCCATCAAGGCTGCCGCGCAAGCTTGTCAGGAAAGCCAGAGACTAAGGGATTTTGTAGGTAGACTAGAAATGAATGAGGCTTTTGCCTCAGGATCAGGGGCTTTCTGTGGTGATGGGTTGAGATCAGCGAAGTAAGGGCATGCACGATGCTAGAGTCTTACCGGTAGGCAGCCCCGCGAGCCCGTGTTCAGAAACGGGTATCAGGTGTAGTTACAGAGTTGGATGCGCTAGTCGGCTAGTCTGGTTTGCGCTGTGCGGATGGCAAAGCTTGCCATAAGGGCGGGCCATAAGGGCGGTCGTGGCTGCATGTTTCCCGCGAACTGCCTGTGCAGGGTGCAGGCTCAGCCGAAACACCCATTCAAAGAGATCACGGCTGGCGCTCGAAGGTTCAGAGGAGTTCCCAGAGAAAAATCCATGCACTCGGTCAGCAACACAATCATGAAACAGTTTTCATTTTTCCAGGGACCTGTATAAGCCGAACTGGCAAGATGGAATGGTGGTCAGGTCTTAGAGGTATTGTCAGCATGATTGGATGTGTATCCTAAAAATCAAATGATTCAGAAAGCACATAGAAGTGCAGAGAGCCGTTTGCCCTTGCGCTTGGCTGATGGCCTCAGAGCTGGTCGCTCCCCTCAGCAAGCTGAACTCAGAGTCGCCCAGTGATGCGCGAGATGGTCTCATTCAGCTGCTGGCAGTACTTTCACGGGTGCAGAAAGAGGAGATCTTGGCAGTATCCATCTCTGAGCAGGTGACAGCAGCCATGGAGAGCCAGTCTTCCAACCCAGAAGTGCAGCGTTGGGGAGCTGCAGTTCTGCAAGCGATGTTTCAGCGCTTCCAGCTGGTTGGCAAGGGCGATGTTGAGCGTCTTCTGAAGGCAGCAGCGGGGCATGCAGCAAGTCTAGATGTTCAGCGATGGTGTTTTTCGGCACTGCTTTGCGCCATAGAGCTTGAAGGTGCCGACGAAACATCTGACAGCACTGTGATTGCTTGCACCTTACTGCAAGAGGGGGCCCTCGACATTATGGCAGCAGCCTTTCAAGCACACGGATCGCCATCTTTGCTGGAGCGGCTCGCTTGCTTGCTTGCTGCGCTCCTTCTGGAAGGAGGCAGCGATGCAGCTGATGAAGCTACGCAAAGTGGGTGCCTGGAGGCCACGCTTTCGACCTTGAAGCTCACAGTTGGCAAGATGCACGATGCTTCGGAGCAGACCCCCGCGCTCGTTGCAGACCTGCCGCTTCAACTTGCTTGCTTGCGAGTTCTTTGGGCCGTGTGTGAGTCGAATGGTGAGCTAGGGGCAACAGAGATTGCTGCCAAAGACGGCGTAGACATCATTATATCGGTCCTGCACGAGTGTGGGCCGGCTTCTGACATCCGCAAGTGGGGTGCCTCTGTGCTGCAAGCGCTTTTTGCGCATGGCGGAGAGCTCGTGGTTGACAGCGCTGTGCAATCGGAGGTAGCGGAAGCTCTGGTCATGTCCCTTGCCTGTAGCCTTCATGACCTTGACGTTGTGGAAAGATGCGCAGCAGCCTTGGCAACGATGGCTGGATACAATGACGAAGCCGGACTAGCTGTCATGGAAGCAGGGGGTCTTGGAGCAGTTGAAGAGGCCGTGGCACTTCACGGCTCTGAGGGAGACCTTGCGCAATGGTACCTGGCGCTGCAAGAAAGCATTGAGAGCTACGCGGCCGATGGGAATTCCAGTCCAAGAGGCCCTGCAAGCGAGGCCCCTGAGGTTGAGATTGAGCTTTGATCCTTTCACACATCTCATCCGGGATGAAGTGATGCAACTCTCACGTCTCCAAGTTTAGCTAGGCAAGCAAGCGGCAGGGATCAGAACCGGCGCTGGTTCGGCCCCAGTGAGAAGCATCACAGGGGTCAAAGCCCCAAAGAAGCCGCGGTGCAACTGCCAAATGCTTGAAAAGGTCAGGCTGTGTCAAGGATCTGAGGTAAGCTGATCTGAATCACAAATGCAGTGGGAGGTGCGGAAGGGTGCGTCCGTGCCGGCTGAGCTGCCCGGTCTAAAGCTTCATCCTGAGAGAGCCTTCATTTTGCGTGTCTCCAAACAGAGAACCATCATGTAGGGAGGCCGGGATGACGGACATGGAATACGCCCCTTCATTAGCGCCCCTTGGCAAGGCCAGATGCGTTGGAGCTGTCCCTCTCCTGGCTGCCCGACCCGAACTGGCGAGTCGGACTTCTGCCCAAGCTCTCACCTTGGCTGCACGTAAGTTTCAAGGGCTCCATTACGCAGCAGGTGTTCCCGCAAAAAATGCTCACTTGGCGGACCGGTGTGCGACCTTACCTCTACTGAACTCTAGTCTTACGATGCTGTCAGGATTCCAGCCAGAAGGTTTGAGGGCTCTGCCTGTGCCTTGTGAGACTTGGCCAAGGGGATGAGCATCTAGTAAGGAAGGGAGGCAACGTAGATGATTAGATTATGACCCTTGCGCCGCGCACTAAAGGTCCCAAGTGCCAAGACCTGCAAGGGCATGACAACTTGCACGAGCGCCACCCTTGTTTTTGCAGTTGCTGGAAACATGATGCACCTTCGCAGCTGCGGCCAGCCACATATGCATCCTCCATTGAAATGGAATTGTAGCAGATAGGCTTCAGATGTCCCGTTCGCAGCTCAGTCTGCGATGCCCGCGTTGTTTTTGCAGAATGAAGGAGTTGTCCGGTAAGGCTTTGCTTTTGCTTCCTAATTTTGAGGTGCATGATTGGGCTTCCGGGCCAGATCCCCGAGGGGGGATCCAGCTCACCCAGCTCAGTTGGCTCCTCCGAAAGTGACCCGAGCTTCAACGCAGATCGGCTGATACACAAATGGTGCCACAGGCCTGATGTGACATTGGGATATGGGGGTTTCCCAAAATGAGCGTTACCATTTTGGGGCTCACCATAGTAAGGATTTGTAGTATTTTGTGGTCTATATTGGGGTCCCCTCATTTTGGGAAACTACCATATAGGCACGGAGTTGCGCTTCCTCATGTTGAGGGCTGAAGGCCACGCGCCGCACGTAGAGAACTCGGCTGACCCTTGTTCCTGTTTCCATTCTATTTTCCATTTTTCCTATACAACCCCAATATGCTATAGTAGTTTCTATTTTATTTTCCATTATCCCCACATTAGAACCCCAATATACTATGGTAGTTTCCATGTCTACTGCTGGCAGGCAGCTTCGCGATCTACTGGGCAAGTTGTCCCTGGAGCCTGAGGCGGCTCCCTTTCTGGTGCCGGTTAACTGGCAGGAGTTGGGCCTGGATGACTACCCTGATGTTGTTGAGAACCCTATGGATCTGCACACTATTAGCAAGCGTCTGAACTTGGGACACTATAATGACGTGGATGGCCTGATCGATCCTGAGCTGATTTTCAAGGACATCTCCCTCTGCTGGAATAATTGCATGCAATACTTCGAGGACGACACAGAAGTAGAGGCTGTGCAGATGGCATTGATGATGTCCTCAATTGCAAAGGATTTTCAACAAGAGTTTTGGGCGGATCTTGCGGCATTCGAAGAATCCCTCGAGAAGAGCCCTTTCAAGACCAAGATGGCTATAGCTGCTACTGTCATGGGGGATGCTGCAAAACAGGTAGCTAAGCAGAGCAAGCGAAAGACCACAGTCCTCGCGAATGACATGGTCAAGTACGCGGCCGACTGGTGGCAGGGAAGCAGAGATGAGTCACCTTTCTGGAGGTCCGAGGAGCGTGACCATTTGATTGGTCGTGCATGGCCATCACGCTTCAAGCGCGCAATTGCAGTAGTTCGGGAGACAGTTCGACGAGTTCCTTTGCCACCTGGTTTGTGGCGAGATTCTTGTGCTTCTATTCAGGGCTTGAGGCAGCCATAGGTTCAGATGAGTTCAGCCCAGCAGCTTCGTACAGCTTCCACTGTGCCAGCCAAGGTCCCTCCTCAATTCAGAGCAGGCCATTCAGACTTTCTTGAAGCCGCTGGCGGAGTCCATCCTGCGCACGGCCTCCTCTTTGTCCATGCCTTCAGGTCAAGCGTGTTTCACATACTAGAGAAGTAGCTTTTCTTTTCCTTTGAAGGCAGTGTTGACCGAAGCTCTCCTCTTCAGGTGTCCACATTGTGCATGACACCATTGCTGATATCCGTGGCGAGTGGATCCTTCCGGATTCTGTAGAGCCGCATTCCCATTGCGAGCAGGTCCTTATTTGGGCCCATGGCGGAGGCTTTGTGCTTTGTTCGCCCGCGACACACCGCTTCTTCCTTGCGAAGATCGTTTTGCATACTGGCGTGCCCACTTTCTGCGTTAATTTCCGCAAGCCTCCGAGCCACCCGTTCCCAGTGCCAAAAAATGATGTCGTCGATGTATACAAGGGTATCCTGGAGCGCGGCATTGCAAATGCCATTTTCCTAGGTGGCGACAGCGCCGGAGGCAACCTCGTCCTTTCGCTTACCCAAGAGCTAGCTCAGGAGGCCGATCGCAATGATGATGCCCTGCCACTCCCTGAAGGCTTGATCCTATTATCTCCCTGGGTGGATTTATCAGATACAAGTGAAGAGTCCTGGCAGAAGTATGCAGACGTGGACTACATCCCTGCCAAGCAGGCGGAGGTTATAGCCGGGATTTATGCTAAAGGCATCCCGCTTCAAGATGTCCGAGTTTCACCTGGTCGTTGCAAGCGTTGGCCCACGTCCTTTCCGAGAACTCTGCTGGACTACGGCGGCTGTGAAGTCTTCCGGTCGCAGATTGAGCGACTGGCAGGCCACATGAAGAAACATGGCGTCGAGTTGGATGCCTTCGTAGAGCATGGCATGGTTCATTGCTATCCTCAGCTGGAGCATCTCTGGGGCCCTGATCCAGGCGGACCTTTCGACAGTTATTTCCAGCGCGTCACGACTTTCATGGCCATGAAGTATTTTTGAAAGCCAGAAAAGATAACAAAGAGCGAGTTTGACCGATTGTTCAGGTTAATGGGTTGGAGTTTGCTGCCTTCGGGCATTTCCATTGATTGTGCTCGTAGGCACGTGTGGGCGGCCATGCGCAATATTTCAAAAAAGCTTACAATGACAAGATCACAAACGTCAAGGGCAAGCAGGGTCTGGCTCTTGTTCGAATCTTTCCAACGCCTCGGATGGTCTGAGCCTGCTAGAGCTCGCACCGCCGAACCTCAATACGGGCGTGTGTTTTCGTAGCATGCCCTGTCCTGTGTCTGAGATGAGACGTTTGTTTTGATTGCTTCCTTCCGCGTTGCGTGCACCTGACCAGAACTGTATCCTTCGAGGCAATCAAGATAGCCAAGCATTCACAGGTTGCAGAAAGCGTCGAATCCTGCAATTGTACCACCGGTATTCAGGTGGCAGTAGATTTGCCTGTACACTACCTGATCTAGCACGTAACACCCTTGAGGCATTACTGGTCTTTGGAGTCAGAAAATCTTAGGCTCAAGTAGGATTTTTTTGCCTTGCAATGACAGCAAGGCATTTGCCGGCATGCTTGGGCACAGTCGCTTTTACATGTTTTATGCCTGAGGCTCCGACGTCAGTTGCAGCCGCTGCTCACAGGGCAAGAGCCTCAGAAAATGGAGCCCGTCCCATGCTCCAATAGTAACTCTGTACTTCATTTGCTTCAGCCAACATTTTTGTATGCGTCTTCTGGCTTCCATCTAGACTAGTGCTTGGAATACATGTTGCAGCAGATCGGGAGTCAACTGGAAAGGTGTTCCAGGGGCTGTAAGCTACCACTAGCTGGTGGCTGGCGATGGTGAGATGTGAGGCCTGAAGAGATTATGCCCAGCGACGCAGCCTTGCCGTGCTCTCAGGGCTATCCAGGACCCGGCTGCACGGGAATACTCGCTTGCCAGTGTGTGTTTTGAGGGTGTAAATGAGGCTGTGGCTTCGCCCTGCTTCAGCTCAACTCGTCCTGGCCCAGGCGGGAATGAATATTCCAGTTACAGGTTTTCTGAATTTATTGCTGTAAGCTGGCACACGTGCCTAGTAGCCGGGCCCATCAGTCATGTGTGTTTGGGTTGTGGCTCTAGTTGTGCGGCGTCTTTCATCCACGAGACCAAGCGGCAAATGCAGGGTGGCTTAAGCAAGTTGCCCAAGCTGGGGGTTCTTGCAGTGGAGCTCGAGATGATTGCTCGAGATTATCCCCCTTGCCGCAGGCCCTTTGGAAGGACGTTCGGCAGCAGCTTCTCTCTTCTGAGAGGGCCCGGGCAGGGTGTTTTCTGGTCAAACTTCAGCCGCTGGATTTTTGTTTTTGCATGTGCGGACCTCTATCTTGAATACAAGATTGGAGCAGGCCTTGCGGCGAGGTGTGGCAGAGGGGCAAAGCTCCCAGTCGGATTTACTCAGTGCCCCATTTCAGTGCTTGTCTGTGGCAGTGTGTGGGATGTCCTTGCTGTTGCTTCAAACCCCCGAGGTCAGCGATGGCAGAGGCCCGCTTTGATGCATGACGGGTCACGACGGGTCACGTTTTGCGGAAGGATTTAAAGGAAGCGCTTCCAGCAATAAAGCTTGCTGGCAAAGTGGAGTTGGCTCAGCTTTCAGGCAGCCAAGGCCCTGCTCAGTGTGGCCTCCCTGTCCCTGGCCGTGTCTCCAGGAGACGGTGAGGCCCGGAGAGGGTTTGAGGGCTCGCCAAGAGGTGTTGCTGCCGTCAAGCATCAATGTGAACACGCAGGGCTTGGGAGCAATGAAAGCAAAGGGCATGCTGGTTCGATCACGAGAGGCTGCACTCCGAGCTCTGGCACGTCTTTGTGCAGGCAGCGGCTTGAGAGTCAGAATTGCTTGAAAGCACACATTTTGTGTACTTCATTTTTACGAGGAGCCCAGTGCCCACACTTTGGTGTGCACCGGGGCTCCATTCTGAGCACATGCCACATGTCTCCGACACGCTTCTTGCAAGGCCATTGCGAGGATCTTGCGCCACAACTGCCTGAGGCACGCCTTCAGCAACAGAGGAATCAGCAATGCATGCCTCTTGCTGCCACATTCATGCCATTCCAGAAATCTAAGGCGTTACCGGTCCTTCTATGGCTGGTCCATGGCTCATTTTTTGGGGGTGTCCTGATGCGCAACAAATATTTTCGGGCCCAAGAAGAAGGATATTCTGGGTTGTCTTGCGGCCTCTGGCGAGGCTGACGTGACGGGTGCGACCGGCAGGCCGGTTGGCCCTTCATGTGTCGCACCATTGAGGGGCGAAGTATGCGGCAGTAAAAACGTGCACATCTTCATCCTGTTCGCAGCCTCAGAGAGTAGCAGTCTCATCTAACTGTCAAGCCAGAAGACTTGCCATGTGTCCCCCCTCGAAACAACAGACACACTGGCACCCCATGTGTGATTCCTACAGTCTTTCTGAACAGCTGTTGTGCTTTCGAATGCGCTCATTGTCCAATGAAAAAATCAGACACTGATCCAACAACCCATACGTTTGCATCTTTGCAGCTGGCCATGGCAGCAACGTCCCTCATGTCATGGTCCGGGAGCCCGATGACAAGGAGGTGGAGCTCTATGACAAGCTCGTTTCTCGTGGCCTGGCTTATGCTGGCTTGGGAAGTGCCGGTGCTACGCTAGAGAATGGCCGGGGTGTCAACAAGCTTGCGCAGGGTCCTTTTGTGATTATGCAGTTATACTTTCTCTGCTCGCAAGATCTCGGTGTCCCACACTTCCCCACATGAGAGACAGGAGGTTCCTGAACAGCTGCCTGCCTAAATTCAAAAGAGACAACTGGAATGAAGTTGACTTGCATCTCCAGACAAGATACAGTAGCTGCTTTCCCAGGTGATGGGCTGCCCTGCGGCGTGCTAGATCCCGACTTCGCTGACCCTCTTGATGGCAAGTTGGTGTTGGAGCGGGGCTTCCGGTACACAATTGAGCTGGAGTGCGAGGATGAGTCATTGAATTTCTCTCGCGTGGTAGGGTCAGTGCGCAGTGAGTCAAGAGATGTGCTCAGTGGCTTTGGCTTGGCCATCATGGAGGTGCCGATGCCGGGTCAGGCCTCCCCAGCACCTGTGCCGCAAGACATCCGCATCTTGGTCTTCACAAGCGAACCAGACCGAGATGCACTGGCCAGCTTACTGGAAAGCTTACAGAACGACCATCGCTCGTTCCGCCGGCATGGCGCCTCGATTTTTGCCTGCCTGCCCGGTGCTTCAAACTGCCTAGCGGGTTGTGTGAAACCACTACGGAAAGCGCCCACACTACCTCACGAAATATCAGAGCTGTCAGCACGCCTGGCCGCTCGGTCGGGCGAGGCCCTGGGAAGGACCCGAGTGGACAAAGAAGGCTGCACAGTAAACTTGGACGAGTTCAAGGCGTTTGCCAAGCAGATGTTCGATCGTCAGGCAAACACTGCGGCGACCATGCGTGCCTTGCTTGAGCTTGACGCAGCATGTGGCGCCATTTTTGTCATATTCATCGGCTTGCACAGAGGTCAATATCCAAATGAGGGTTTCCAGACAGCTTTGACTTCCAAACGCTGCTTAGGAAGGAGTGGGAGTCTGGGAGACCTTTCCAGTGCTTTCCGACAGCCCGGGCCACAGGCAACATTGACTGTTCTTCTTGCCATCTACTGGATGGCTTCTGTTGGCTCAGGTACAGCCGGCGAAAGGATACAAAGGAGAGCCACGTGACCACTAATACGAAAGCTTCAGTGACTACTCCCCACGCAAAGGCTCCTAGTCTTGCTTTGCAGCTTGTGCGTATGAGGGCGATCAGTTGTGCAGCATATTGAATAGCGATGAAGGACAGCTCGGTGAATGTTTTGTCTAGTCCATGCCAAGGATTCCTGTGCTTGGATAGTGCTCGCATCCTGGCTGGGCAGGGGCCGCGCGACCAGTTGCAGCCGAGTGATGCTGCAAGCCTCCTTCACAGGCCAGCCGCAGAGCTGAGCAAGCGGATTTTTGGCAGGAGAACGCCTACATGGTGCAAGGTCTGGAACTGGGGGTTTAGGATACAGGGCCCCCTTGCGCTTTGAATGTACCCCTCCATGTTTCCTGACATGTTCTCCGTGCTGCCAGGCTGCTACTGCAGGATGATGCTCCGCCTGCAGTTGACGGGCAGGCTGTCCTGCAAGTGCAAGCACTCGCACTGAACACCACAGCAAGCCACAGCTCATATAGCTGCAAACTGAGCATCCTGCTTCTGAGCTTTCATGCGGCGCAGCGCAGTTGCCAGGGATCAGCGGGGTATGCGCTCTTTCCTCTTGCAGTCACCTTCGATAGCTTTTGGTCAATTCTGCAGCTGGCCTGGCTTTGGAGTGGTCTCAATAGTGGAAGTGGTGAGCCCCTTTGTCCTAGAAAACCCTCTTTGTTGTGCTGCTCAGGCAGCCCATGCTGCTGACGGAGCATCTTTTCAACGACCCAAAGCTGCAAAACCGTGCCTGGTCTGCTCAGATTGAGCTTCAAGCATCAGATGCTTCAACCATTACTGCTCCGCTTTGAGGGGCCGCTTCTGAGCCTACGTTTGCAAGGTCTGGGTGATGGCGGTCCGGCTGCGATGTCGCTGGAGAAATGGAGTTGGTTTCTAGTCCAGGTCCAGAACGAGGAGCGTGGCTTGGGCGGCAAGGATGGATATCTTGTCCCTGAAGTCTGAAGCCACCTCTTCTGGATGATGGAGAAAGCTGTGGTGCTTGCTTTGTGGGCCTTGACAGCGGCAGGATTGACGCAGCAGTCATGACATAGAAGCAAGGTGCTGTGGTTGAAGGAGCCGCTTCCCAACTGAAAGCCATGGAGGCCGCTCCACGCCAAAAGCACCGCACTTCGATCTGAGAAAAACCTCTAGTGAGACAGGCAAGATTCGTTGAAAGTGTCACGCCGGCTGTGAGGTGCCGTATGTGGACGAAGACGGGCAACTGAGCATGGCAGGACTATCCTGCTGCTTGTGTTCGCCAAGCAATGGTGCCGCTTGGAGAAATTTTTTAGAAGCTTTTTTCAGCAGACCTGGAATGGAAGCCTGGAAGATCTAGATCCAAAATCATTCAACAAAGGCATCGGGGGAGAGGTACAAGTAGCGCACCATCCTGGCATCAAGAGTGTGCTCATGAAGCTGGGATGGCCTGACATCTGAGGCATTGAAGCCTGATCTTTACCGGCCTGGTCACGACATGACCCGGCCGCTGACAGAGTACTGGATAGCCTCCGCTCACCACGTACTCCTGGAGAACCTAGCCGATGGTCAGGAAGGTGGTCTAGGGCCAACTAGACATGTTCAAACTAAACATCGCCACATGCAAACCTGAAACACTTCATAATGTGAAGAGAACCATGTTTGCACGACATGGTTTTGAGAAGCGCTGTGCATGCCTGCAGGGACCTCGCCGTGTCAGGAGGACAAAGAGAAGGCAAGCCCTTCCAAGAGCCGGAAATACTCCGGGCCTCCTACCCGCAAGCTGCATGAGCCTGCAGGAGCACTTGCTTCCCATTGTGGGTGCGCTGCGGGCGGGGTGTCGCTGCATCAGCCTGGCACTCATGGAGAGCGCCTCAGAGCTGCAGGCCAGAGCAACCCCACATCCAGCAAATCAGGGTACATGAAAGCGGAACGGTCCCGGATGGAGAGAGCCAAAGACTGCCAGACCTGCTACAGCTGCCGCAGGTCATTCTCCAGCAGAGCCGTGTGCCACTGGCAGACCGGACCTCAGCATGGGAAGCAGCATCACTACTGGTAACAAGCCCAAGTCGGACAAAGGATGTGCTGGAGCAAATCTCAGCGGAGGGCCTCCACGTCTGCACCAAGTGACCATGACACAACATGCAAGGCTGTGGAGCCTTCCGACTTGTTGGCATCGTGGCTGAGGCTTTCAGGTTGTCCAGTATCCACTTGTGCTCGGGGCCTTGTGTGTCAAGCTTTGGCACATCCTGACTAATGCGCTGACCACGCGGCAAGTCGTGCTAGCAAGCAAAATCTGAGAGACTCCTTTGAGGTTGGTCCTTTGCTTGCGACAACTCACTTCCTCCCAGTCACGGGGGCAGGCTGTCCGCCAGCAATAGTAGCCGTCACTGTTGTGTCACACAGCGCCGGTCTTGGTTAGAATGAAATCCCAGGTAGCAGAGGTGCTGTTTGACAAGCTGGGTGACCGCCTGTGGAGGATTCCACATGTAGAGCCCGCCTTGCCAAAGAGCTGACAGCTGCTGGAACCCAATTGGCTTTCATATGCCGCTGCTGACAATGTGAGTGACGGATCAATCCAGTTTAGCTAAACTCCAGCAGCTGAATCCAAATGTTGGGCAGGAGCGGTGCAGAGATGCCCTCACCTGAAGCTGCCAAGGGCCATGTGGCGCAGTGCTTACTGTATTTGAGTTTTTGGTTGGCTGGATAAATGATTATCTGCTGGCTTTGAGGTGGTCGTGCTGGCTCCGGGATGTGACATGGACCCGGCATTGGAACCGCCGAAACCTCCCATCCGGAAGTTGCAGAAAGGCCTGGCGAACTTGCCGCATTGTGGCAAAAAGTCACCTCTAGTCACTAGCTTGCGCTTTGCAGTAGCACCGCCAGGCTACAGCACGCGCTGGCAAGAAAGCGAAACAACTGAAGAAGTTGTGGAGGCAGCCGCTTTGATCCCTTCATGAACCTGCGAAGAACCATGCTGCGCACCAGGCGTGGCAAGAAGCGGCCAATCGCTTTGCAGTGTGGTGCGGACAGGCCCGCACCTCACTCAGCAGCCGTGGCTAACGCATTCAAGAGATGCTCGCCTTGTGTTCCGCACTGGGGCAGCTTCGTGCGATGCTGCCGCGGCAGGTTTTTGACCGGAAGTTTGCGCAGCAACCACCTGGCGGGATCACGGCCACTTTGCGCAGAGGGATCTCCAGATGAAAAGAACTAGGATAGGGGGGTGGGTGCCCCGAAGACTTAAGGAGGGTCTCCGCTTCTGGCAATGCTGAGTCTTGCAAGGTTGGCTTCTTGCCCTCTGATGAGCTGTGTACTCTTGCTGAGTTCAAGCAGTCGCTTCCCTGCAATGGCGGGCTGTTCTGAAGCAGATAAATTCGAAGAACTACAGGCAGACGATGCTGGAGTACCACAGGCAGTGCCAAAGCTGAATCAGGTCATGTCAGTCCCAAGAGCCTGCTCCATATCGCCGGCGATGAGCATCCACACATGCCCTAAAAAGTTGCAGCATGATGAGCTGGTCTCTTATCACGCTCCGCCATGCAGAAGCCTTTGCGCACTGAGGTATCTGACGCTGACCTTCCCACTGGCTCCCCGCGATGCACCAGCACTCTGACAGACAATTGTAAGTTCTAGCAGGCCTGCAAAATGTAAGCATTCTGCCACTAGATGCCATTTGGTCCAGGTTAATTACAACTTGGCTGCAGCCTGGTCGTGCGGCGTGGGGTTCTTATCTCCTGCCCACGAGCTTGTGGATCCCTCGCTGGCTGTTTCGCTGAGGTTCAGATGGCAGCCATGACCGTGGCATCGGGTGCAGCTCGAGCAGATGGCGCCTGCTGGCTCAGCATGTCGCTCTACAAGGCGGTCTGCATGGATGCCTGCAGCTGCATGTCAGGCTACGCTGGTGCAAGCCGGACTGTTCTCTCTTAACGGGGGCTGCGGCTATGTGCTGATGCTTGCCTCGAACCATAGCAGGGCAGCTGGGACATGAGGGCTTCGAGGGAAACTACGTGCGTTTGCGCGGTTTTTTTTTCGGAATGTATGGTGCATTTAAGCTTGTGTGCGCTTGTCCTGCGTGGCCCTTCAACCATGCCTGTCTTCTATGTGATCTGGGGCTGCGCTGCAGGAAGCCGCCGTACCTCAGAAATTGCATTCGGCAAGAAGACAGCCTCGAGGCTGGAGATTCGTCGGCTCGTCGTTCTGAGCTTTTACTTGAACTGGTTTGCGTGTTCCCTTCTTGGGAGGTTGCCGCGCCGGCACCAAAGCCGCTCTACCTGGAGGCCTGTTCAGCATCTGGCATATTCTGGCATCCTTCCCCAGGGGTTTCAGGGGAGTGTCTCATGTAATAAAGCTGGCCCACCTTCTCTCCGTTTGCAGCAAGGGCTTTCTCCAGGTCCGTTTGCTTGCTGCACGGGCTGTGCCGGGCATGGATGAAACTCCGTGGCCCAGAGGGCCTGTTGCTGGAAGCTAAGTGCTGTGTCACATTTTCCTGAAGCAGTACTGCGTCTGCGTCTTTGTGATGCTCATTGACAGTTGGCGCTCAGGTTCTGAGCGCCAGCATTTGGGGTGCTCCTTCTGATTGTGCGCGTCAGGAGCTTGCTGTCAGCCCTGAGCCTTAGCCCGCTGTTTGGTTTGTTGGCCGGGTCTTGAAGGATTACCAGCCCGTCAAATCCTCGGGTGCCGTCCTCTCTTGGCCAAATGCACCCCGTCCTGCAGATCATGACCCTGTATGCTGGCATCCGTTTTATTGTAGGTTCCACTTAAACTTCAGCCTAGGCTGCAGGATTGGCGGGCAGCTTATTCGACATGGGTCGGTCAGTGTTCACTCTTCATGTTGCTTCTGGCTCTCTGAAGCCTTGCGAAGTCAAGCTGTAGATGCTGATGGACCTGCGCCAAGGGCTTCAACATCGCTGCTCCGCAGGTTGCCATCCTGGTCGTAGCCGGCTGAGACGGTTTTTGCAGATGCGAGTGATCCTTGCAAACAGCCTGCTAATGGTTATATTCATACCCACCACATTAGCACACTCATGATCAGCACATTGGCTGCTGGTTCCACTTAGCTCGCCAACCCAGATGGAGCTTTTCGAGCTGGATTCGTCACCAGGAGGCGCCTCTCTCTGTCTGACACAGTGTTTGACGAGATCTGTCGTCGGTGTCCTGGCCCACCTGTTCAGGCTACCAGCGCGTTGCATTCTTCGCTGCACCTGTGTCAGTGGCTGAGTTGAGGCTGAGATCAGATTTCGCCCTGCATGCCTGGCGATAGCATCCTTGTTTCATGCGCGAATCCATTGTGTGCAGTCGAGAGAGCTGGAGTTGTTTGCATCATGCACATTACAACATACTTTTCTTGTTACTTTTTGCAGCTGGAGCGTAGAGCTGCCAGCTTAGACGGAGTGGCTTGCCGCTACAGTGCGGGGCGTGTACCTTCAGTTTAGAAGAGGACGTTGACTGCCTGAACCGCAGAGGACGGAATCCCGAACGACAGACATCGGAGAATAGATATCAACCACAAATGAACTTTTGAGAGTTTGTTGTCGAGTACATGGCTTATCACCAACACACGTGTAGACGTGTAGATTAATTTATACTCTATTATATTATATTATATTGTACCATAGTACCATATTATACTATATTGGTATATATTGGTATTTTATTATACCATATTGATCTAGTAGACCTTTGGACCGAGGCATGGGCTTCGGCAGGGGCTCCGGTGGATGCCTCTGCGCTCACATGTTGGCAAGGGACCAAGTCTGCCAGCCAAAGCCGCTCATGGAAGTTTTCTTGCGTACTTTGGAGTGTCTCCTCGCCAGGTACTGTGCAAGCAACGCTTCATGGGCCTTTATCAGGGATGCTCGCGCACATCTCCCTTGTGGAAGGGGGCGCCTGGTTTGCACTCAGTGCCATGTTTTGGGGCAGCTCATGGAGTTGACACATAACATAGTCAGGAAGGCGTGCGTCGCTCCAGAGAGCAAGTCCACTGGCAGCTTCTGGGCGTTTCTGACTTCTGCTTGCGGAGAAGTTTGCCTAGTCGTTTCGACTGCACGCGACACTTTGAGCAAAAGGAAGCATGACAACTAACGTGCCCAAGCTGAAGGAAGGCGAACTCTCACGTCTTGGCAACAAAATTCGCTGCTGCAAAGCAAGCTTGCCATGCCATGCAGTGCCCTCAGCCATGTACAGTGACACGTCGAATCTGGTACAGAGTCCACAGACTCGACAGTAGTCGCCGGTTTGTGGGTAATGCCGCGAGTCGCAATCGCCCCAAAACGCTTCCAACTCCATGGGGATCATATGCCTTGATGCCGGCCGTTGTTTGCTCGCAGCGAAGCATATGGCAGCAATTGGCAGCAGGTGTATTCCAGCCCAAGGAGGCACTGCTGAGCTGGCCGGGAAGCTCCTGCAACATCCTCAGCCCTCAGCTGCAAAGAGACGTAGCCCGAGCTGAGCGACTCCGACACTGCAGGGAGCAGCTGGGCCATGCAGCGATTGAGCATGCTTGGAGCTTGGCAAACTTGAGCTGTGCAACAGCTAACGCGTTGGGCCAAGTGTCTGCCTTGCAGAAAGCAAAAGCCTCACTTCTTCACACAAGTCATGCAATTACAGCCAGATAGCTGCTGAATTTTCGAGGGAAATGGCCAGTCAGTTCTTAGGCTCCTAGGCGCTATCCTGCACGGGCTGCTACATGGCACACATGCGCACAAGCCGTGCACTTGTTCATGTTCCCAGGACCCGCAGTCCTTAGTCTACTTCCTGGCTGCTGCGCTGCTTCGATCGCCTGGCGAGGCGGAGCCTCCATCTGCTGACTTCTCCTGGCGCGCATTTACTGGACAGATTCAATACTCCGCTCAAGCTCGGTGGAGAGTTTGCGCGTGTCTGCGCTGTCTTGCTACAGGCGGCTGCCTCAAGGTTCAGCTCATCCCTGCTGGTTGTGTCCCCTACCCGGCATTTTTTCAGAAAAAGCGCAAGGTGGAGACCATGGCTGACCTCTTCGGTAGTGAAGTCCATCCTCACTGTAAACTGTAGACAACCAGTGAAGAACCACTGCGAAGAAAGAGCATGTAGAATGAACAGATGTGCTGCGGTTCCTGGCAAAGCACACAGGAGCTGATGAGGAGCCACAACATTTGTTGCAAGCACGAAGCTTGTGTGCCCACTTAGTCAGGCTGGCCCAGCTGCTATGCCAATGTGTCGAGGCGGTCTGACTTTAAGAGCGGTTGAGGGTGGACGTGGGCTGAACTCGCAATCTTTGGCAAGGCTGCATCCGCGCAGCTTGAGAAGCCAACGCTGCGAGAGGCGGCCTGGTCCTCAGAATTGCACATCAGGTCAGAGGTATTCAGAGTCAGGTTATGCCTTCAGTCTGTTAAAGCAGTCTTCGGCACAGACCGTTGTGCAATTTGTCCGTTCTTCCGAGCAGGATGCATTGGAAAGGCGGAACTTGCGAGCCAGCAGCCCAGACACTAACGGTGGCTTTCACAAAACTTCACCGGGCTGTTACAAGTTGCGATTGTGTGTTTAGACTGGAACACGACCAGGCTCTTAGAGGTCCTCTGCGTCGATGGCGGGACCAGCTGCACGAAGGATGGGCCAGGGATTCAAAAATCAAAGTGCAATCTCTTCATGGAGCTCAGTCTATGTAAGTGGCTGACCTGGGTTTTCTGCCGAAAGCTCGCGATTGAAAATGAGGTTCAAAGAATAGCCAAGTTGCAGCCGCGAGCTCGGACAATTATACAGGTCCTCAACTCTTCATGCTGAAAAGGAAGGGCTGGTGAACCTGCTACAATATGTTCCAGAGCACGAGCTGGCTATCAGCCGTGTGCGCAATGCTCCTGAGGTGTGGGTCGGCAACTGCATCGAGGTTCTGGACGAACTTTCGCTCTATTGACGGAAAACAATTGTCGGAGCGTGCTGCTGTTTGCTCTGATTGTTTATGCTATGCATCGGGAAGTGAAACATATCCGCCCGGTCGAACACTATTTTCCATCTCCGCATCTCCTCTTGCACATTAGAACTATCGGAAAAAAGTTTTACCTTCGGAAGGGAGTTCGTGCAACGCTTTTTCGTCGCTGCCTGTCTCAAAATAGGCAAGGGCAAGCGTCCTCCCTTGAGCACTGACGCCGGCGTCTGAGTTCACTTTCTTTATGAATGGTCTGCCAGAATGACGGCAACCTCAACCTGCAATTGCTTCCTGTTTTTCCGCTTCGCCTGCTGTGTCGGCGCAAATTTGTGCTCTGCTTCAGTTAAGAATAGCAGTGTCAGACAGTAGCATTGAAGGGAGTCCCCCACCATGGCAGCGGTTCTAGATCCGGTCGTGGACGTTCTGGAGGAGGGCAGCCATCCTTTGGACTCCTTGTTCAAGCCTAAGCGCGTGGCTGTCATTGGGGCAACTGATCGCGAGGGTAGTGTGGGCCGCACGCTTCTCCGAAACCTTATCAGCAACCCCTTCGGAGGAGTCGTTTACCCAGTGAATCCAAAGCGAGATCACGTGCTGGGCATCTCCTCATTCAAATCTATTGCAGCCTGCCCCGGTCAAATCGATTTGGCAGTCGTAATCACGCCAGCTTCTACTGTTCCTGCAGTTATCCAGGAGTGCGTTGACAACAAGGCAGGGCATTTTCATAGGAAACAGGTTCACAAGGAGCTCCTGTTTGTGGATTAGACCGCTGAGTTTGGGGCTTCAGAGGTCCGTAATGTGCTGTTTATTAGCAAAGCCGGCAGTCTCAAGAGTCCTGGATGCAGAAGAGGTCCGAAACGTCATCATCATCTCCGCAGGCTTTAAGGAGGTGGGCCCAGAAGGAGAGCGGCGCTTAGGCTGCAGCTGAAGGGTGCAGATAGGAAAGTGTAGTGGAACCGTCACGAAACAGAAGCAGAAAAATAGTCTGAACACAGCTATTGACTTGGCCAAGGTTAGAGAACGAGGTGAAAGCCATTGCCAAGACTGGCAACCTTCGCATCGTCGGGCCAAATTGTTTGGGCATCATTTGCCCGACGTCAGGGCTAAACGCATCCTTTGCCAACCTGATGCCGCAGAAGGGAAGCGTAGCTTTCATTAGCCAGAGTGGTGCCATGATTACCTCTGTGCTGGATTGGAGCGTCTCCCAGAAGGTTGGCTTCAGCGCAGTCATTAGCATCGGCTCCATGCTAGACATGGACTTCAGCAGCATGATTTTTTACCTTGCGAAAGATCCAGCTACGAAGAGCATAGTTCTCTACATGGAGTCGATCGGTAACGCCCGGAGCTTCCTGTCCGCTGCACGAGAGGCGGCTCTAACCAAGCCCATCATTGTCATCAAGGGTGGCCGCACTGATGCTGCAGCCAAAGCCGCAGCCTCCCACACGGGAAGCTTGACCGGAAGCGACGCTGTGTTGGATGCCGCGTTCAAGCGAGCTGGTGTGCTGCGTGTCGAAAACATGTCTGACCTGTTCGAGATGGTGACTTGTCATGCGTTGGATGATGTTAGTTTGCTGAGATGTGTTGAACTTCCGAAGCTTGGAGTTGTGGTTAGGCTTCTGGCGCACAGACCGACTGTAGCATGTCACAACGCTTGAGCACGTGCGAGGCCGACGTCCTCTCCAAGCAGCCCCTTCCAAATGGCAATCGATTGGCCATTCTCACGAACGCTGGTGGTCCAGGCGTCTTGGCCTGCGATGCCCTTGCGCAGCATGGAGGTAGCCTTGCAGAACTCACCCCGAAGACGATCCAAGCCCTGAACACAGTCCTGCCACCGGCCTGGAGCCATGGCAACCCAATCGATGTCTTGGGAGATGCATCTGCGAAGCATTATGCCGACAGCCTGGAGATTGTTGCTCAGGACCCCAACTGCGATGGATTTCTTGTGATCCTCACGCCGCAGGCTATGACAGCTCCGACGGAGTGTGCGGAAGCTTTGTCGCGCTACGCCAAGATCCAAGGCAAACCTGTACTTGCAAGCTGGATGGGTGGACCTGACGTCGCCCCTGGAGCAAAGGTCCTGAACGACGCAGGCGTTCCAACCTACTCCTACCCTGACATGGCCTGCAAGACATTCAACTACATGCATCAGTATCAGAGCAACCAGGGAAGTAACTACGAGCGCATTGACCTACAAATGGATTTGGAGAGGGTGCAGGTGCCTTGGATGACCATAGATCCATCTGTAGTTTTGCCTCCAAAAACACGGCCACAGAATGTCCCATGTTTGTAGGCGCTCCTGCTTTAATTTATCCCCTGCTCTCAACCTGGTACCTCCAAACAGTCAGATCCGCACAAGACACTTCACTACTCGCTGCTTCCACCTGACTGGCGAGATTCTACTTTACCACTTTCTTCATTCAAATTGAGCGGGCTTTGTCGATCCCTGTGCTGCGGTGTGGTCCATGGGCCGCCTGTTGCCCTCAGCCTGCTGCTGAATACTTTTAAGTGCGCGAGGGAATAGCCCAACGAATCTCATCCAGTCTACATGGGACTTCCATTGGCATAGCGACTACTTGTTTGATTCATCCAGCCCTCGAGGCAAGGGATTTGGTCCATCAGGAGCCTGTCTAGGGCCCAAGCCAATCATTTCAAGACCAAGACACTGCTGAGTAAAGTCGTTGGCTTGCGGAACGGATTTCCGCTGTAGATACTCCTGCACATCTTGCTTGTTTGCTTTTTTTGCTTTTTTTTTTTCTTCCTTGCTTGCTGCTTGCTTGCTTGCGCTTGCAGTCTGTTTCCGCATGTGGAGTGATACGGAGTCCAAAATGTCTTATGAAACAAAATTAACACTGAAGCTTCTTCGGAGTCCGGAGAAGTAGGTAGGGCCTCGGGAGCCTCAGACAGTCTTCTCCAACATCTCAGTACAAGCAGCCAGCTACTTCCAAGCAATGCTTCCCTATGCTTCCCTTGAGCTGCATGCTTTTTTTGGCCGAACTCTGTGTCATGCTCAGGACGGCAAGGCGGAGGCTCGGAAGCTGCTTTCCAAGGTCCGGGCCTCCGGCAGGTCTCTGCTGACAGAAGCCGCCGCTGGGCTTGTCTCTTTTATCTACGCACACCGCAGCAGAAGCGCGCTTATTCACATGTAAGTTCACTATAGCTGTCATCAGGCCTTGCGCAGCTGGAAGCAGGGATGTGTGAAGTACTGGCCTGCGAACTCAAGTAATAAACACATCTTCATGTGCAATCCTTACCGCAGGTTTAAGAAGGTGTTCCCAATGCCATCGCTGCAGCTAGCAGCCGAGGAAAGCAAGTTGCTCCTCAAAGCCTATGACATCCCAGTGTCTCGGTCGACTTGGATGGTAGAAGCCGTTGGCTACTGCTTCACATTTGCAAAGCTGTTCAGAAAGCAGCAAGGCTTGCCTATAGTCTTCATGCAGGATGAAGGACAGTTTGCCCTATCGAAAGAGACCCAGGTCACGGCCTGTGAGCTAGCCTCAAGCCCTGCTGAAGCCATGGCCGCAGCAGAGAAGATTGGGTTTCCAGTGGTGATGACGCTCGGTGTTGACAATGTGACACGGTGTCTACCTTGTCTGTGATGATAACATGCTTGGCTGGTGTGAACTGAGCCATCTCCTGGACCCTGGCAACTAATCAATTGCTTGCTCTTGGGCTCCTAGCGATGCCGGCAATCTCTCTTGCAACATGGAAAACAATCTGCCACTCTAAGCAGCAAACTGTGATGTGAGGAAACTCAACTCCACCACCGTCACCCACAAGACGGACGCTGCAGCCTCAGGATGTTTTTCCGCTTTCCACAGCTTGTCAAGTTAGGACCAGTCGACGAGGGGCAGTCTCTTCTCACGGTTCTTGCTTCATTGGCAAAAAAAATGGTCATGAACCTCCACCACTAAGGTTGGAGGAGTTGTTCTTAATCTACACAGCAAAGTGGCCGTAGAGAAATCCTTCATTGAGATGAAGGAGAGTGTGTCCAGACTCGCCTCTCCAGAAGGATTCGAGGGTGTCACGATCCAGCCAATGATTTCTTTGAAAGGCAGGCTAGCTCACCTTGCTGCGTTATGAAGGCGATGTTTTGCTTGCCCCAAACTTGCTCTGCTGTCCAACCGATAGGCTATGAGATCATTCTCGGTTCGTCCATAGACCCGCAACTGGGACCCGTGCTTTTGTTCGGCATGGGTGGCTGTTTGGTGGAAGTTTTCAAGGACTCAGCCGTGGGCCTCCCGCCACTCAACGCTAACTTGGCTCGGAAAATGCTGGAGGAGACAAAGCTCTACAAAGCACTCCTAGGAGTCCGGGGGATGAAGAGCGTGAATATTGATGCCCTCATCCAGATCATGGTCCGCTTCTCCGTCCTGATTGTAGACCTTCCGGAGATCTTGGAGTGCGACATCAACCCTCTTATTGCATCAGAGGATTCCATCCTCTCGCTCGACGCCAGGGTGGTGCTGCATGACCCCAAGATAGAGCCAGAGGACTGGCCACAACCAGCCATCCGACCCTATCCGCACCAGTATGTCAAGACGGTCGACTTGACAGATAAGATGCCTGCAGCCTGCTTGCAACTGACGTTTGCTATAAACTCACCCATCAAGCACGTGACAAGCCCAATCTGTTTACCTGAAGCAGGCCAAGATTCGACCTATCCTGCCAGAGGACTTGAGCATGAAACCTTTCCAAGAGCTTGAATGTGAGATATGTAAGACGCACGCATAGATAGCATATGGCGTACGTCCCGGAGCTGAGCTGTATCGCTGGAAACTCAATAGACAGGACGAGGGCATGATGCGCAGTTTCTATGGTGAAGCATCGTGGCCCAGCGGATGTGATCCAACTGCGATGCCAAAGGAGGAGGCGGGTTTGCCGATGCTCGCGAGAAAGCTTTCATGCAGACATTAGCAGCTTGAGCAGCACGGATCTGACAAACCCCAATGTCCCATGTATGTTCACGCGCTGCTCGGGTCCAAGCCCTGCCAGGCGCAGCTGACATGCAGCCTGAGCCGCACGCACCTGATCCGCACGTGCTTTGTGGACTTCGACCGGTCGATTGTCCTAGTTGCGGAGGCATGGTCATGTAACATGATGTGGGTACTGTATGATCTGTCTTGCCAGAGGTGGTGGAGAAGATGCCTAGCCAGGGTCAGTGGATCATGCGCCTGCATCTTGCACATGCAGGTGACCCAGGATGGGGAGAAGATGATTGTCGGAGCTGGGCGTGTCAGTAGGGAGCAGATGAGCAATGACGTGACTTTCGCGCTTCAAGTACTGCCGAGCTTCAGACGAAAGAGCTTGGGTTCTGTCATGCCACTTGGCTCCGAGGATTCACCAGCTTGCCAATCTAAGCAAGCAGCTAAGCTTAGCAGGCAACGGTGGGTTTGCATGTGTGGCTTGAAGCTTGAAGGTTGAAGGCGCTCATAGACGTGGCGAAGGAGGAAGGCGCAGCTTGCATCAAGGCCGACGTCCTGTGCGAGAACACGCGTGCTCTGCGGTTCCTGGAGGGGCATGGCTTCCACCTCGGGGAAGAGAAGAGAGCACTCATTCCCGTGAAGCTGCAATTTGAAGAAGTGGCAGGGCGACGTCCACTCAGTCAGGTGCCCTCTTTGGCTAACATGCGGAAGCCCACCGTCATGATGCATTCAGAAGGCCCGTCAGCTAGTCCTACCTTTGCAGCCTCCTGAGGTCATTCTGCTTAGTGCAAAGCTGGGGGCTGCTCAAGGCTGAAGCTGCTTTGAGACAGCCAGTTTGATGCGCGACATCAGGAACCGGCTGTAATTCGGTTTTAAGAGGTTCGCGCTCGTAAGTCTGAAGCACCCTAAGCTTTACAGCGCACGCGGCAGGGACGAAGTCCTGCTGTGAAGGCTCAGCTAGTTTCTTTTCAGGGGCTCCAGCGCGGGCGGTTGCTTCTTCCTGCGAACTTCGGGACGAATGCCCCAGATGCGCATGCATCGATGCAGGAGATGCAGTAGCGGCAAGAGCTATAACACAGGCCTCTTCGAGCAGGGCTGAGCAGGGAATGCGGATAAGCTATTGGCTGAGAAAGTCAATCAACTTGCTATGTTTGACTTCCTGGCGCGGAGTAGCACTCGGGGCGTGGTCTGTTAGCCAACCGTTAGGGATCGATGTTTGTCACTAGAGGTTTCTCAGCGTCAGCATTTTTTGTGGGCAACTCTGCCCAGCCTGCTGGTATAGCAGTCCATGGTCTCAACTTGCTTATGGGCACGCAGTGGTCAGTGAGCAGGATTGTGCAAGTTGCCCCCAGAAGCGTGGTCGCGAGCTGTTGCAATCTGTCAGGTCTCGATGGCCACCAGGAGGCAGCGAACAGATAGAAACTTCAGATACACCCTGGTTCAAGGAAGACCACTGAATTCAGGAAGAGCGTGGATGCCAGTGGGCCTGTCTGGCATCATCGATTCAGTTTGATTTGCTGCCTTCAGAGGTGGAGAATGCCCCTATGCCAGCGGCTGCAGCTGCTCATCTCACAGAGCGCCCTCCACTTATGAAGATGCATTTCTGTAGCCCTTTTGAGACCACAGTTGACATGGCAAGTCGGCATGGCAAGTCGGGTCTGCGAATAGATGGAACGCTTTCAGCCAAGCACGGGTTCCAGAAAAAGCGGAGCTGCAGCCTTGCAGCACCGCATGCTGCCAAGGCGCGCAGCGCTCGAGGCGCGCATCCGTGCCGTAGGCTGCCATAGGCTTGCTGACAGTGATCATGTGTATGGCCAAGCTTCCAGGAGCAGTGCAATTGCGAGGCATGTAGTCTTGTGAATGTAGTGCCGAGCCAAAGAGTACATGATGCCAGGATCGCCCTTGCAGAGCAGAGCCGTTTGCCTTCAGAGGCATGTCCTTGCAGATCTGTTGCTGCCCGTAGCTGCGGAAGCTTTGTCCATGCACACGTGTGGCAACCAACCGATTCAGAGCGTTGTGTTCTGATACAGCAGGTGCCGAAGTTAGAGTTGAAGAGGTGTTGCATTTGCCTGCATAGCCTTTAATAGGGTGCGTTCCAGACAACCCTCCTCGGACAATGGCCCCCAATCAAGTTTGGGCAAAGTTCTTTGGGCGGCTGGGTCCGCCTTGTTACTTCTCCGTTCGGGGCAAAAAATCGCTCTATTCTGCACCCTTTCCATTGTTCTGTTTGGAGCAAAAGTTTGCCCTAATTGTTCTGAAGTAAGCAGACCGAGAGGTTGAGCGTTGGCCATGTGAGGAGCGCCGCGCATGCTGTACCAGTTGTGCCATCTGCGTCACAAAATGACGGCGAGGCCGGAACCCGCAGTCGAGGTCTGTGCTGTACTATGTATGAGCTTACAGCAAGCAAGCTTTTCGCCATTCTTCTACGAGGGTCCGGGTCCGGCCTGCTTTTCCTGTTGGGCCCGTTGCAGGCGCCTTGGGCGCTGTTGTGCGCTGCCGGTGCTGGCGCCATGGCCGATCCTGGCTAGTTGCCCTCGCTTAGGGACAGCTTGAATGCAAGATTGCGGCACTGTTAATCCACAGACATTGCATGCTCAAAAGGCTCGTGTTTCGTAATGGCCTCTTGCATGAAACCTCAATTGCCAGGCCTTGGCGACAATAAAGGATTCCAGGAGCAAACATGTTTTGAACCAATGTTCAAAGAGCAGGATGTCCAAGGTCCATTCAACATGCTTCTCTTCACTCTGTGCGTTCCAGGAGTACTGCAAGCTGCTATTACGAGCCCGCGCCTGACGGTCAGATCGACCGACTGAAGAGGCCATGGCAGCGCTGCCTGACGATGACAGGAGGTTGTGCAAGCACACTCTGGCTTCCATTTGTGAACAACCTGTTCATTTCAACAAGTGACAGCCGCTGATAGCCTATAGCTTGAGTTTTCTCAGGTGGTCGCAGGTGTACTGGAACCTGTCTTCAGGCATCCTTCGAAAGCTTCCATTGGTCTCTTACGATTCATAAGTCATGCTTCCACTGGGAAGGCAATTCGCCAAGCTTTCACTACACAGAGGCTCAGAAAGCTCAGACAGCACACGCTGACTGCTTTGAACACATGTTGGTCGGCACTGTAAATTGAAGAAAGTTTTTCCAAACAGCAGGTGAACCCACACTTGGAGAAGCACCTTGCCCGATGGCCAGGCGCTCAGGAAGGCTCCAAAGCTATCCCTTCAAATCCAAGACTTCCCAGGTCAAAAGGAATGTCTCCTGATGATGCGAAGGCCGCCCCGCTGCTTGCCTGACGCAAGGCAAGTTGTTTACACAGCTGTCGCTGTGCAACGTGGAGACGACAATGCTGTAGATTACTGTAGTTTGCAATCAGGAAGACATCTAACAGGGCATGAGGTTTTTCAGAAAAATCCTAAGTAAGACGATGTTGCTTGACGGATGTGACAGCCGTGAGGCACGCGACTCCCCAAAAGTATTGGTACCACTGTGTGGCAAGTCCGTGGACATGCGGTACCCTCAGTTGAAGTGGGAATAAAACGTAAAAGTCATGCTCCGCGCTAGTTCTGTCTGAGATCATGCGCTATGAGGCCCTACTTGTGCGAGCTTGGCTATGGAGTTGTTGGAATCGAGGCAAACCAGAAGCGTATCGCATCTTTTCGCGGTTGAGGTGAGAGGATGGTGCGGTGTGCAGTTTCGGTGTGCAGATATTGAGCGGAAGTTCAAGGTTCAGGATAGCAGGGGTTGGCGACAGAATGCTCTACCAAGGCTGCCGTTTTTCACGCAGGGGGAGCGCAATTCCTGCAGCCTTCAGGGATTCTTCAAGTTTACTCGGATTGGTAAAGGATTTTCTGGAAGAGTGTCTGTTTTGCATGGCTTGCAGTCTTCAGAGGGACTCCGTTTCCAAGGGGTAGTAAACTATGCGCTGCACATGGAGGAATCTTCAAGCTCTTGGTCCTTTCTGGTGTGCTGAACCTAAGAAGCTTCTGTTACTGGTCCTTGGCTATGCGGCCTGCGGGTGCCACTGATCAGTGCTGTGCTTCCGGGCCGGCCAATTTGGCCAGAGTCCTCGGGCTTATCGCAAGTACATTATGCCCCACAGAGGTTTCCCTCTCGGTTCAGCTGGCGGTGGGTCTAAGGAACCGACCGGTGTGACTGATGTCTGAGTGTTTGGGGTTAATTGGCGGGCAACATCCGCAGCTGTCACAGCATTACTCGTGCTGTGCATTTGCAATTTGGCATTTCCAGGGCATTCCGAGGGCCATTCTGGAATTCAAGGCCGAGCACCAAATACGAGCCGTGATCTCATTTGTGGTGTCACATTTGATGTGAGAAACGTGCCCTGGAGATGCCATACCGCAAGGTCAAGGGCATGAAGAGTAAGGTCCTCCTCTCCAAAGATGAGCAAGGTGGGCTATGCCTGGTAGACGGCAACGGTGTACACTACTTCTGGGGGCCCCTCATGGTATGATTCCTGGAATGCAAGGCTGGCGGGAAGGCCCATCCTTTCGTCCTGCAGCGCAATTTGAAGGAGCCAGGCGCTTCTGGACGGCTTTGGATGAGGTCCAGCAACAGTAAGTGGCTAGAATGTACTAACAAGATCCTACAGATGTCCGGGTTCTGTCCGCCATCGGCAATTTGGAATGAGTGCTTTACGATCAGGCATGGCCAAGCTTACAAGACGGGCGACAGAGGGCCCCAGACTCAGTCTACCCTTTCAGTTCCTCACAAGGTGCTGAAACGTGGCATGTGCTGAGCGTGATCAGCCTCACCTCACCATGAGATGAATGTATAGGAAATTCATGCACGTTCCGGGCATCTCGTTTGGCACACGTCATGCACACCCTGCTGTATTTAGGCTGGGTTACTACTCAGAACGTCCAGCTGTGTGGCGAGGGAAGGCCAGGGAAGACATGGGAAGACTGCAAATTGGTATGAAGGTTGTCGGCCATGGATGAGCTATTGTTGGTCGTGGAATATCTGACAAGCCACAGACAGTGTTCATGCAATTCGGTGGCCTAGCAGCCCTAGTCGGCAACGTGGCATAGATGATCAACTGCGTGGCCGGGCCGGTAGCGGTCCGATTAGTTCCGCCATCGGCTCCTCTTGATGCATGCATGCAGTTTCTTAGCTCGCTCCATCCTGTTCAAGTCAAGGCTCAGCATGCTACTGCACTCATGGAAGGCTTGTGCGCAAAATGCAGGTAAACCTTGGCAAGCGGCATGCGCCGCTCCACTTGATCGAAGGTGACATGTCGGCCCCCTACTTGAAATGCTTACATGGAGTTGGTGCTTCAGCACTGAGATGCCAGGCTTGAAGTCACACCTGAGCTTGTTGCAGCGGCTACTTTCGTGACAGATGGGAGGCTCACAAGTGTACGAGATGCAGAGACGGTTGCGTGGAACTGCCTGTAGCTTGCAGTCGGATAGGTTTGATCTCATCTACGATTGCGACGCTTTGGCCGCTCCGCTGTAGTTTGCCTTGAATCTTTGTAAGCCAGATGCTTTGTAATGTCAGTCATCTGCCAGCAGCATACTACCAGGTTTCACTTCCTCCAGAATCCTGGAAGCAGCGCGAGTCTTGGCAGCCGTCACGTCAGCATGCTGAACCCAGTAGGTGCATTTGATCGGTGGTGCTGCGCCCATATTTAGCCTTCCAGTATTCGGCTCATAACCCCCGTCAGACATGGGAGGTCTGCATGCCAAGACCTGTGCTTGAGCCGCGTGAGTGCAATGGCCTTCTCCACCTGGGTAGCGTGTCTGCTGTGCACACTAGCATCTTCCAGCAAGAGGTGGGCGCTGAGTCTGAGTGCTGGGCTTCCTTTACGGGCTGAAGGTCAGAGTCATGCCCACTTTTGCAACTGAAGGTTCACTACAACAAATCCAGCTCATGGGGTGCTGCCGCAGACATGGCTTCAAGACAGGCTCATGCAGTTGAACCCGGCTTGCTGGGAGCGATCTGGGACCGCGGGTGATGTTGGCAATGTTGGCATGGCTTCGCTGCATCTGATCTGATCGTGGTTTGTGGTTGTAAATTCCTTCATTGGTTGGCCCCTAATTGGTTTGTCAATGGAACCTCTGCACCTGCCTTAATTGCCAGGCAGCCTTTAACCCAGAAAAGCCAACTGACTGCGGCTTCACGGCTTGCACGCAGATCATGTGCCCTATCATATGCCTAAATGTCGTGCAACAACGCTGAGCAAAACGGAAGGCAAGCTTGTGCGCGAGGACAGCGTTGCTGACCTTCGATGTGTGCTGCCGAAGCCAGACCTATGTCGTTATCAAGCTCAACGGCAGAGAGGACCCATTTCATCCTCCTTGCACAGGTGCAAGTGCTAGCATCCAAGCAGCCAGACAACCGAACATGAAAGATGGAGCTTTGTAAGAGTAAGGAATGTTCCAGAACAGGAGCCTGTACGGCTCATCTGGTATGTAAGGTGAAAATGCACATAGCTGAACCGAATAGGACTTGTAAGTCCATAACTGAGATGCTGTCATGGCTCAGCCGGCAGGAAAAGTTGAGTTCACTGTCATGGCATCCCCAGTGCCACGTGGGAAGTCGGCGTCACCTCACTTTTGATGCCTGCTGTGCATGGCCAGTGTTTCTACAACCGCAGCTTCAGCTGGCCGGTGCCCTGCTGATGGGAAAGGCCTGGTGGCGTTCATGAGGGACTTGAGGTGCTGTGGATGGAGGAACTATCGTGCTACTGTGAAGTACTTTATATATTCTAAACAATTGGGAAAATATTTTCCCCCATTATCGGAAGTATTTTGCATATTCTACACCTTTGTAAAATTACAGTCTCATGGGGTTCCTAAGTGGTCTGATTTCATCCATCCGACGTAGGTTTTTTCAGCCTGGGTCCCAAAAGGCACAAAAAAGTGATGTGCCCTTAGCCCCCTGGCCAGAATCCTTGCGGCACAGCAATTTTGGGGTGGGGGAGAGATTATATCGGGGTTGTACTGAGATTATATTGGGGTTATGTTGGGATAATGGAAAATAAAATGGAAACTACTATATTAGAGATGGTAGGGTTTAGGGATAGTCTTGCTACTATTATTATTGTTCCTACTGTTATTGTTATTGTTGTTATTGTTGCGAAAGTCATGAACCCATTGGGCTAATATGAGGGTTAAAATGGGGATATTGCAAAAGAACATTGAAAGTAATTTGACAGTCCTATTTATCAATGACTCTGCAGGACCCTGCCTAGGACTAGGAACTGATTGAATTTGTGTATGTCATGTTTCGTGCGCGAGTCAGGATGAACTTCCCGCAGCCAGCTGCACGCCATTCGGCGTCACACGCCCGAGCATGTGGGCATTCTCGGCAGCTGCCGCTGGCTGGCCAAGCTCCCGTTGCCTGGACGAACTTTTGGATCTGCTTTTCTAGACACGCACACCTAAGGCTTTCCTGCACCCTCGCGTCCCTGCCCGCACCCGGCTAGTACTGCCTGTCTTGCTTGTCGCGCCAGACTCTGGAAGGAAACGCTTCCTCTGAAGATGTCCTTGTTGCAGACCGCATTCTTCGGGAGCTGACACTCGCTTGCCAAAAGGCGTCTCATGTTTACTCATCCCTCAGCTGCAAGCTGAAGACTCGAGTTGAAAACTGCTAGACATGTGTACAGTAGCGGCTCAGACTGTCAGTCACATGGGATTTTGCAACAGCTTTCTTGTCAGGAAGCCGGGCTCCTCCGACGATTTGACCTGGTACTGGCGTTGTCCTTGTCTTGCACAACTCGAGGCACTGCAACGGGCGCGAGGCTGCTTGGCTGGATGGACTCTGGCCAGGAAGCGACGAACATAAGATTGTTTGATATTGTAACCTAGTACTATTCGCAACGCAGCTTGCTTGCGCAGATTGAGAGCTGCTAAAGGCTGAGCATGGGGGTTGCTGTGCTGCTGGTCAGTTTGCCAGCAGGTTATTGTGAACTGCTGCTTGCGGAGACGCCTGATGCACGCCCCTTGTTGCTCCAATCTATTCACCAATCCCTTCTTGCATATCGGCTACTGGCGTCTTATCCTTTCTACACGCGGAATGTGGAGATGGAGCCGCAACTGACTTGCCAACCCTTTCTTTCCGCCGCGTTGGGAAGAATCCGCGGCCTCCTTCTGGATGGAGGCACGGCTAGTGCGCCAACAAATGAGTCGCGGTCAAAATTGCCGTTTACTTCATCTAGTCTGAGCCTAGGCTGTAGTTGTTGCGCAACAATGACTAAGAGATCGAGAGGGGACGTCCTAAAACTATAGGCTCACTTCATGTAAGCTAGTAGGTTAAAAGAAGATCTCCCAAAACGTGGAAATTGATGTGGGGCGCCCTAATTCAAAAACTTAGAGAGGCCAAACAAGTAATTTTGACGCCGTCTCAAATGGAAGTTTCAGCAGTCATTGACCCTGAGGTGCAGCGATCACAGGTGATTATGGGAAAGCGGGGCACTCCCTGCGACTTCGTCAACTTCATGATGCTGGAGCCGCCAGCACGGATGTTGGGTCGGAAGCTTTGTCGTCACATGTGCTGGATCTTTGGGTAGCTGAAACTCAAGCACTGCGACTGGCCTACACGTCATCCAGCAATGCTGGCATGCAGGGTCTTTGGCAAGCCTTGGACAGGTTGCTTAAGGCCAAGGGCTCCTGGAATCATATGGCTCAAAGTATGCCATCAACCAAGCAACAAGGTCGAGGCGACTCTATGCAAGTGGAAGCTTCGGATTGTGACGTTTTGCGAGAAAGGCTGCTACAGACGAAGCACCAGGGCACGTTTTCCGATGCTGCAGAGGCCTTCCATGCCTTCCAGGATGGTTGTGCCCTGAGACATCGCCCTGGCCCTGGATCCCTCCTGCTTTGGAGCAACAAGGCGTGTATGACTGGGAACCATCTACTCAGCCTGGTGTCATCCGACTCACAGCTGCAAATGCAGGATTATTGCCTCTAGCTGGGATAGCTTCCCGTTAATAAGTAACATGATCCATGATGCTTTTGTGTGTTTAGTAGGTGGGGCTACGTAAGACCTCAGGCATACTGGAGTCATCACGGCGCGATGTGCTTGGACCTAGGTTGTTCTCTCCATGCTCACGGGTCGTGCATTTCTTTTTCGTGCTGAGGACCCCATCCGTGCCGTGTATAATTGAGATTGGGATGGTTGGGTAACTTCATGCTGACACCATGCAAGCACTAAACTGCGGGGCTGTCCCTGGAAGGACTTCCCAGGCTCTCGCATTCGTTGTTCACAAGTGCTTTCAGGGCCAATCTGCACATGGGCCCTGCATGCATCGGCGTTTGACAAGCTGTCCGCGTCCGACGCTGGCAGCACTTTGCAGAAACAGCTTTGTGTTTGCAGAATGACTCAGCAGCTGACAATGTAGTCTGGTCGCGCTTCTTTCCTCCGAAGCGGCAAATACGAAGAACTGAATGCAGGTGAAGTACCAATTTACCTTTGGTGCAGACTGCGCAGCGCTGCTTGACCGACTTGCTGGTTTCCCGGCGTTGTCAAAGCAGGTGGGCCATACTTACCACGGGATTTCATGTTCTTGTGAGAGGCCTTGAAAGCATCTCCTCTCGGCCTCGCGGCCTTGCAGTAAAGCCTAGAGTGGCCTTGCATTCTGGCACAGGCCGGAGGCAGCATTTTGCTGGCAGACCAGTGTCAGTACTTTCTGCCCGCTCTCTTTCGGAATCCAGATTTCCGTCCAGCTTTGGAACAGTGGTTCAAGCAGACGCTGAAGCAGGACGACGAGTATGGCACTAGGCGGCTGGGGGTCTTTGCAGAGGTCGGGAACTGGTTGTTTGGTTCCTTGGCTCCGCACCTCGAGCGTCGAGCAACGGCTTTCCTGTCCTTGCACCGCTTCGGCGACTTCGGGGCATTGCAGAGACCTCTTCGTGTATGCGCGCAGAACAGATTCCCCCACGGGGTTGCTTGGTGGACAGACTGCATCCAGAAACTATCGCAGAACAAGTCCGGGGCTCGCATTTTTGCTGCCACCGTCGAGCGCGGCACTCAGTTTGTTGATGTCACAAAACCTACTTTGGATGGAGGAAATCGTGCAAAACCCCGTGTACCTTAACTTGCCCAAGGAATCACCATATTGGGGGGATATTGGGGGTTTTAAGTGGTGCAAGATAACCTCCATTCATCGTAGCTTCTTGCAGCTTGTGGGGTTTTGGACTTTTGGCAGCAGTCTTGCTGTTTGAGCAGAATAGCAGGACATGGGGTCTTCAAATTTCTCCAATCACAAAGCAGCTGAACCGTAGCAATTGAACTCTTATTGCATCATAAGCTTCAGCATAATATGTCGCAGCAGATCCTGAGAAAAATCAGGGGGGTCCACAGTCCACAGGCACGTGGTTTGATGAAGGTTTCATGATGAGCCGAGGGCGTTTCATGAAGGCAAATTGGGGGGCACCTAGATTTCCAAGAGCGGCACTGATTTCGAAAGCTTTTATGTGGGAAATTGTGGAAAACCTACAGATAAACTTCAATTACTGTACGTGCTTCGTAGATTTTCTGAAGTGTGCCATATTTTGATTCCTCTTGAAAGAGCTATCATACAGGGAATTCGAGAGAAGAGTTTGAAGCAAATCCAACTAGAATTCAGGACTCCCTGAATTTTTGAATGTTCCATGTCTTCATCGA